CAGCCTCAGCAACTCAGCAAGACTCTTTCTCAAAATAAAACATGAAAAGGCCCAGAGATGGAGCTGAGTGGTAGAGGCCACTTTGGTACCGCACCATGGCCAACGCAGCCTCCAGAGGGTATTCTCATTGAGCTGTTGCCACCACAGGAGGGACGCAGGGAACTGCTGCCTCATAGCAGGTGGGCGAGGGACTCACCCAGGCAGAGCTGAGTAGGCAGGGGGGACCTGAACTGGGGGCTCCAGCCCCACGGCTGCACTCCATGTTGTGCCAGGACAAGGGGAAGTCTTGCGAGTGTGTTCAGTCAATTTTCTCTTGGAGTTTTTCTCTCAAATATCTTTAAAGAGAGCAGTAAAGTTTCCACTTAGTGTTCTGGGAAATATTTTAAGAAAATTGAGTTAACAGTGAAACATGCAGAGGTTTGTTAAGCCCGTGACATTTTGGAAAGTGAGTATGACCCAAATCGGCATGAAGCTCAGGTCACAGTGCACAGCAACTTCACAGACAGATGTTAGCTAAAGGCCCAATGAGTGCAGTCACTCTGTCCGACCCTGCGAAGGCAGAACACTGTGAAAGCAGCGTGTATGCGGACCCTTCTGGAACCAGATGTGCATAAATGTGCTGCACAGAAACTGGAATGTCACAGGCTTAAAGTGACCCGGACACCTGTCATCTCCAGGGGAGCTGGGGAGGCCCCCATCGGCAGAGTCTTAGCAGCCACACAGGAGGTGGCCAGGGAACGGGAGAGGGATCCAGGTGAGGCCCTGGGGGAATTGGGTGTCTCAGAAGCCCAGCTGTGCACACCCTGAGTGGCTAATCAGCACCCACCTCACCATGCAGTGCTCTGATCCCACAGCACTCACATGGGGACTCTGGCACCACCCGAGAGCCATTCGGGGCAGGGTGTCACAGGGTATCACAGGGCCTCAAGGCAAACCTAACCAGCTGTGTGGCCTCAGGAAAACACTGAACCTCAGGGTACCCCACCGACCTGCCCTCTAACTGACCTCACCAGCTACCAGGTTCCAGCAACTCAGTGTCTGGGAGCAAAGGACAGCATCTAACAGTCCCACTTAGAACTCAGTACTATTAGACCTCAACAAATCTCAGGCTCCATCAATGTGGCTGCCGTTCCGAGTGCCTGAGAGGTACAGACTCCCTTCCAGAGGTCACGTCACCAGGGGCTCCTACCCCCATCTTGTAGCTTACCATTTACAACAAAATGACTGGCTACCAAGGATAAATTTGCCAGTTATCTCTTTTCTTCTTCTGTCTACTTTATTTTCTAATGCATCCACGATAACTATGCATCCCTTATAAACTTTTTGAAATTAAGTGTGTGAAGTGAAACAGGACTCACCCACTCCCTCTGCACTGGCAGGGGCAGGCCCTAGGTTCCACCAGGTCTGGTCTGTGTCTGAGCACCAGGTGCCAGCGCAGCCCCGGGCCGTGCCTACGCGCACCAAGAGCCCAGCATTCACGTCTGCAGGATGTCACGAGGCAAACTCTTCCCACCACACTCCGGGGGCAAACTGCAGCCCAGGACTACTTTGGCTACTGGAGATGAATAATAAGTTCTCAAAAATAATCACTCACATGACCTAGAATCTAGTGATCCTGATAGGACACACGCCACAGAACAGTATGCTTGGTCTAGCCTCGTTCCTCAGCGGCACATGCGTCCCCTGCTACTCCACAATGCCCTCCAACAGCTCTCTGGCCTTTGTCAAACTCTGAAAGGCGTTCCCAACCCAGCACTGTTAGAAACTTAGTCGACATTGATTCTCCAACTTGAGCACGCCTGTGAAGGCAAGGCTCCCCCAAGCCTCCCCTGTGGGGTGCTTCAGGAGATGGGGGCTGAGGAAGTCCAGAGCTAACAGATCTAAAGTGAGAAAGACACCGCGTTCCTCAGAACACACAGTCCAGAAGGTCACCGTCCCCCAAGACTCAGAGAAGCCAAGAATTCCCCCTGCAGGCACAAGGGGGGCCAGGAAGACAGTCCCAGAAGTAATCCTAAATCGATCAGCCCTGCCCTAGAAGACAGTGGGAGGGCTAGAGCCCAGCAGGAACGCTGGCCCAGAGAGTAGAGGCCCTGGCTCCATCACTCATGGAAGGAAGAAGAAGAAAACCACGGGGCGGGTTCTTGGCCTGATTCATACAAGGCAGCCACATCACGGCATTCTAAAGTCCCTTTGCCAACCACAAGCCAACAGAATTAACCAATGTGCAAACAGGTAAAATTAGATGAAAAATAGGCACCAGGAGGTGTCTGGAGTACTCCACCTCCCCTGAGCTACTTGGCTTGTGGATCTTTCTGACCCACAGTCCTGCATCTAAATGGGAATAGTCCACACAGCTGGCCTGCAAATGCCCTCAGTGCCAGGAGCAGGTGGACAGAATGTCCAGGGGCCGGGATGAGGAAGGTGGACAGCGTGGAGGCCACACGCAGGAGGAGTGGTCATGAGGCCCAAACCCGATTCTCGGGTTGTCCCTGTACCAGCGGCCCAAGGACACCTGCCAGGGAAGGTGGGAGCAGGCGACATTAACCGCCGACCCTGCCATAGTGCAGGCAGCGTGGGAACCCCTGTGAGGCTCACCTAAGCCACTCGGTCCAGAGGACTGGGACAGAGGGCATCTAACATAGATGGACTTGTAGGACACCCAGCTCCACTGCAGAGCCAGGACTTCCCCAAGGTGTCCACATCGCTTAGAGATGGCAAGAAGCACCATCCCCACCACAATGCCACTTCTTCAATGTTTCTCAGTTCTCCATAGGAAATGGGACACTGATGACAGGAAACACAACAACATTTTGAAGTTGATATTATCCTTACTTCTGTACAGACCATCCCAAGAACATGGCTAATGAGACAGAGAGGTTAAATGAGGTGCCCAAGGACACACAGCTCGTGTGTGACTGAGCCAGTTTCCTAACTAAGGCAAGTTCTTCTGGATATCATGCTCTTAACCATGCAAACACACTGTCCCTCCTATCCCCAAGACTAGGGTCAAGAAAAGGTCCAGCTGTCTGCAAGATTAATATGCAGTGGCAAGATCCTATAAATATTTAAAGTAACTGCAATAGGCCGATTGGCATTCAATGAAATGAGGATTGGACAGAAGTTGAAGAACACGTGCCACAGAGAAAGAGGCCCCACACAGAGGTCTCCCAGAAACCATCCCAAACACCCAGAGAAAACAGACTCCAAGGGCCTACGGTCTTGCGCAATCATTTCTTTTTAAAGATGCTCTTTCCTGAGTTTCAGCAGCAGCTGGAGGATGTGCTGTTCAGCTGCTTTATTGTTTCACTGATTTGTCCCCAATAAAGGTTAGGCACCCTGACTCCTGGGGAGTACGTGTATTCCACCCATGGACTCCGTAAGTGATATTTGGCTTGGCAAAGAGCAACAGATTATTTAGCAAATTCAAACATTACTTTTTCCCCTATGGCACACTGCAAAAAAAGTGCAATTTCCCACAAAAACCCAGGATGTATTATAAACCGTCAGCTGAGCCAACGAAGCCCCTGTAGGTGCCTGGCTCATGTCTGCTTCTGTCTTCCCTCCCCAGTGTTTGTAGTCTGCACTCTTCTAGCTGAGCCTCCCTCTAATCCTAGAAGGAGAGACATGGCTAGACACTGTGGAGCGGTGCTGTTGCCCTGGGGCAGGGATCTGGAGCAACTTCAGGACCCTGTGTTCTGTGAGCACAGCAATAATGTGATTCCAAGCCGGCTGGGATCTCACCACTGCCCATCAACTGGGCTTCAGAGGCATCCCAGGTGCAAAGCTGTAACAGTGGCCTCACCTGCATCTGAAAGTAGAGTCTTAAACAAATATTCGGACACCCACATTCACAACAGCCTCATTCACAGTGGCCAAAAGGTGGAAGCAACCAAGTGACCATGGAGAGATGAATGGTGAATGAAATGTGGTGTGCACATACAATGGAGTATTACTAGGCCTGAAAAAGGGATGAAGTTCTGATACATTCTACTACACAGGGACAGAGCTGGGGGACTTAACAGAGAAGTCAAATAGAGAGAGGAAGCAGAGTGGCAGTTCCCAAGGACTAGGCGAGAGGAAAGAAGAAGTTAATGCATAAGTACTAATGAGTTTCAGCTTTGCAAGATGCAAAGCCTTCTGGAGATGGATGGCGGCAAGGGCTGCCCAGGATGTCAGTGTGAGTAGTTCACTGGACGACACCGTCAAACGATCAAGATAGCCAGTGAGTTACATGCAGCACCACAGTCAGAAAGAGCTGCCTTATAAGAAGTAACTCTTTTTTTTTTTTTTTTTTTTTTAAATCTTTTTTTTAAAATTTTTTATTGTTGGTTGTTCAAAACATTACATAGTTCTTGATATATCATATTTCACACTTTGATTCAAGTGGGTTATGAACTCCCATTTTTACCCCATATACAGATTGCAGAATCACATCAGTTACACATCCATTGATTTACATGTTGCCATACTAGTGTCTGTTGTATTCTGCTGCCTTTCCTATCCTCTACTATCCCTCCTCCCCTCCCCTCCCCTCCCCTCTTCTCTCTCTATCCCCTCTACTGTCATTCATTTCTCCTCCTTGTATTATTTTTCCCTGTCCCCTCACTTCCTCTTGTATGTAATTTTGTATAACCCTGAGTGTCTCCTTCCATTTCCATGCAATTTCCCTTCTCTCTCCCTTTCCCTCCCACCTCTCATCCCTGTTTAATGTTAATCTTCTTCTCATGCTCTTCATCCCTACTCTGTTCTTAGTTACTTTCCTTATATCAAAGAAGATATTTGGCATTTGTTTTTTAGGGATTGGCTAGCTTCACTTAGCATAATCTGCTCTAATGCCATCCATTTCCCTGTAAATTCTATGATTTTGTCATTTTTTAATGCAGAGTAATACTCCATTGTGTATAAACAACACGCAATGGAGAGGTCTCAGGCAGTTTCAGAGAGGTGTGGAAAGTCAGAATGGCACAGGGTGCAGTCGGGGGCAGGTGGGGACAGCCACAGTCTCCACTCCCAGCAAGCATGGGCAGGAGAAGAGGTGCGGTATAGGGAGGCTGATAGCTAAGGGAAGCTCTGGGGCAGGGTGGTGACCCTCAGGCTTGTCCAAGATGGAGGAAAGGGACATAGCATGAGCAAGGAGCTGACATGGTCCAGCCTGGATGGTCTTGAGGTGGGTGGTGAGGAGACCCAAGTTCTTCCTCCTGAGAGGAACAGTGTCACTGTGTCAACCTCAATACGACCTCAGCGTGAGAAGCCAAGGAATCCATGTCGTATTCAAAAGGAAATGCTCAGGGTCAAGTGACAATTGGGAGGGAAAAGGGACTTCCAACTCCAGGTCTGAGTTAAGGTGAGCACCTTTAGAAGGTGAGAGAATCCTAGACGCCAGCTCAGGGCAGGGGTGTGCCAGGTCCCAGCTGGAGTAGAGGAGGTCAGCGGGCATCAGAGGCACCCCGGTACACGGGAGGACAGGCAGCGCAGACAGACACCCTCCACCCATGGAAAGTCTTGGGGTCCCCTTGAATCTCAGGTGATGTGGCCTTGCCCACAACCGTCAGGGCTCTGGGCCTTCCTGTTCCCTCCTCTGGGCAGGTGTGCGTAGCTCCAAAGTTTTCCAGCCCACTTCCAGGCCGTGGAGGGAGCCACGTGACTCTCAGCTTGAACCCACTTCCCAACAGAGCAAGAAGCTGTTCTCACTGTGGCTTCACAGGAAAAGGTCACAGCTAGGCATGGGAAAGATCCACGTCCTCCGAGGGAGCCTGGGCTGCAGGGTTCCTCTCCCCTTCTCCAGGCAGGGATCCAGTTCTCACTATGCACTGCTGGCTGGGCTGTGCTCCTGTGTAACCCTGGGCAGGTCCCAATCCAATCCGGGCTGCTGGAGCGTGTGTGACAGCTGGGCGGCAGAGAGCGCGGGACTCCGCAGCACTGGACGCCCCAGCGCCTGGCGAGCAGCCGGTGGTTCAGAGAGCACTCAAATAAGGGGGTCTGGGAGCTAACCCAGCATTTCCTGCTGGTCAACAGGAGCATCCAGGCAGAAGCAGCGCCAGCCCTCCGCTAAGCCAGAGGAGCCACTCGGGTGCTGACCCCATCTCGCCTGCACAGACGCCGGCCCCGGGCTGGGGAAAGCAGTGAGTAGTCTGTTAAGAGAATATTTGCGATTCCCACATACCGCAGCCTTCTCTAGAGCGCCTCGGTCTTTTTATTTGGTGGATGGAATGACAGGTTTATAGGTGAGCTTGGACTTTTCCAAGTTCAAAGAATAAACTCACTCACTCTAGTTAGCCTTTCTCTGTACACAGTCTTTTCATTTAAGGAGGCACGATTTTCTATCAGGGGGCTCATGCATTAGGCACTAAGAAATTCCTATTTAAAGGAAAAATCATGCTGACCTATCCTAGGACAGTGTCGGGTGCCTGTGGCTAAGGAGCGAAGGGTGAGTTCTGAGCCAAGCAGCACAGGGGGGCCGGGACGCCTCCCAGAGCAGACTCTAGCCAAGACCTACCATGCTCCAGAAAGCAAGCACAGGAGAGGAGGCTCAGCTTAAGAGCAGGAAAAGCCACATTCCCACCAAAACTGAGACCAAGGGTCTCAGCCTCCCACAGGAAGCCCGCACCCAGGGCAGGCGGCAGGCAGCAGGAGGCAGGCAGTGAGTGGCAGGTGGTGGGCAGTGGGCGGCAGACGGTGGGCAGCGGGCAGCAGGCAGGATGCATTTTCCCTAGAAGAGGCCGGCTGGGCCGGGAGGGTGCACAGGTGCTGCGCATGTTTTCACCACTGTCTTAGCTTTCAATTTCCATTTCCTTGTTCTTCTGATTTCTTACTCCGAGATTAACTGCAACTGAAATATCATGAATTTATTGTGTCTTCAGCTTTAATTTGCGGTGGGTACGACACAGAATATAAACTGTGAAGTTTGTTCTATTGTTTTCCTAAAAGCTGCACAGTACATCTGGAAGACTGTGATTCATAAATGGTTTTTTTTTTTTAATTTTTTTTAGTTGTAGATGGACATAATGCCTTTATTTTATTTATTTTTATGTGGTGCTGAGGATCGAACCCAGTGCCTCACACATGCTAGGCGAGCGCTCTACCACTGAGCCATAACCCCAGACCCTCACAAATGGTTTTAAAATGCTGAAATATCACTCATGCTTAGAATCCATCCTGGTTTACGTCCCAGCCCATCAACAGTCAATCTCTCTACAGGCACACAGAGTTTTAGAAAACAGCCCCATTTTCTGGAGGAAGGGTAACATTACAACTGAGGAAACGTGGAGATGGAGAGAATAGTCCATCAAGTGCAGCACTCTGCCAAAACGAGAAATTTCAAAAACCACTAAATTTAGTATTTAAAAAAAAAAAAAACAAACCTTCATTCTTTTCAATGAACAACTCTCTAGTGGGGAAAACACAACCTCTTAGGGCTTCTAGTTACTTAAAGACATCCTGCCAATGTCATGCACGTGTAAGTGTTGCTTACGACAAGTGAGCACAGGGCCTTTGCCCATCCCGGGGATCCAGCCCCTGTTCCCTCCACACAGCCCCGCTCACTGTGGGGGAGCTGTTTCTTGGGTTTCCTCAACATGAGACATTTCATAAGTGGTTAGGAATCGACACACAGAACTGGGACTGCCTGAGAAAGCAAATGTCGAGTAAAAACATGTTTTGAAAAACAAACAAAATCTAGGTGGACCTGTTTTTTGCTATATCCCCTTTGATAATAATACAGGCATATATTTTTTCTATTTGCAATTTTATTAATAACGTTTAAACATCACCATTAATCGCTTGAAATTAAAATTTTGGGAGGTAAAAAAAAAATGCCATACATCAGTAATATTATGATTCTGCCTCTTGGCTAAGATCACGTGTAACAGGCAAAGGATTATATAGTCTAGAAGGCAAACCAGAAGTCAAGGGGATAAAAAAAACAACAATGATGTTTACATCACTTGCATGTGACAGGGATGTCCAGGAATGAGTGACAGTTCCAGGTGCTGAACCCCTTGGGAACCGTGGGTTCTACCGCTTCCCACAGATGCTGGAATCTCCTTGGGAGCTTCCCACACAGCCAGTGGGCCTGGGAAGGACTCTCTTCTTGCCTCTGCTTCACCCACAGGAACCTGGCATCCAGGTGGGGTCAGGGGTTCAAACAGGGATGCCAGGCCCAATAAAGGACTAGGGCTTAAAAGTCACCTGGCTTCTAGAAATCCACCCTCCTTGTACCTCCCCCTCCCTGACCTGACCCAAGGGAGACACAGCCAGTAAAGACCCTGTTTTACAGATAGGAGGAGAGCCAGGGGTGCAAGGGGCTGCAGGCTGGCTGTTTGCATAACAGTGCGGGAATCCTGCTGTATAAAACAATCCATGCTGTGTTCACAGAGGCACCTGGGCATGGTGGGAAAGGAGGAGCCTACAAGCAGGGGAGTTCCAACTGGCAGTGACCTTGAGCTAATCTTTCTATTTTCCTTTGAACCCTTTCACTGTTTGACCCTCCTCTGTCCCATCACCTACTAAAACAAACAAACAAAAAAGAAAAGTGAGGCTTCTGATGCCTGGCACCCAACAGCCACTCAGTAGAAACGGAATTTCCTCCATCCCTGGGAGTATAGCGTTAAACTAGAGGCTACGCTGGCAAGAGCAGAACCCGCGGGCAATTGCTCAAGCTGTAATCCAAGACTCAGGGGCCAAAAACAGAAATCACAAAAACCAGGGGAAACAGATACCACTCCAAATTTACCTCCTACCACACCTAGAGAAAACCGGGCATCCTGCCAAAGCCTGGAAATGAGCGGTGAGCAACACACGTCCACCCAGTGCCTGCACCTCAGTCACCTACTCCCCACAACTGGGCCAGCCAGGGGTCGCCAGTCAGGGGGCCTGGAGGTCAGGGTGAGGCCTGTGAGTTCCACTAGATCCCAAACCAGACTAGGAAAACTTGATACTTTGTTACACTGTATCTTTTAAAACGCTCGTCGCTTTGTCACACACATCCACACAGAACTTTCTAAGTCTAGACACTTTCAATCATACCACATCAAAACATCATATGAATATTGTCATTGATATTTCAATCTCAGCATGAGAAAGCTAAAAAATTCACAGTGGTACATACAAATTTTCAAAATTCTGTTGTCTGAAAAAAAAATTGAGTGAATGAGCTATGATCTGATCATTAAAAAATAAAATAAAACGCCATATGGTGACCAAAGTGACTAAACCGCAGCAACACTTAACACAGGTAACACCCAGGTGCCACACAGGCTGAGCATCCCGGGTCTGAAAACCAGAAACCCAAAACACCGGAACCATCCCAGGATTTTCAGACGAGGCGTGTTCCCCCAGGCCATCTCGGCAGGTGTTCAAGCCTCTGAAATCTGAAACATTTCTAGTCTCAAGGATTTTGGGGGGGATGCTAAACCTGCTCATGTAAAACCTGCCTGCACAGGACGACAATATGCACATCATCATGCTGACACCAACATCACAAAATACCAAGCCTAAGAACTCCAGGAGCCATGGAAAGGGACGCACACAACACACAGGCTCCTGTGAAATACACTTAGGTGTGACCATTGGTGTAAAGCAGGGAAGTGAAACCTGAGGGAGCAGGATTCAGGTCCTGTGGCAGGCATGAGGCAGGGACAGGGAACGTGCTGCACAGGGGATTACGCGTTCCTACTGAGGTTGAGGGTCCTGTCTTGACAGAGCCGAGAACAGGAGCAGAGAGCTCGGTTCTCACGAGGCCTATCTCTGGGGCAGGAAGGGGCAGGGTGAACGTGGGGAGAAGAGAAGGAAAAATGAAAACTAATGTTATTTTAACCACAGAGACAGGAAAAACATGGCCACGGTGAGAGGCCAGAGAGCCCCAGGCAGGGAGGGTGGGGCTGGGTGCCGAAAGGAGGGAGGGCTGCCCAGGAAGGGACACTCAGGGACATCCATACCAGGCAGCCAGACAGGCCAGGGCTCCCAGCACCCCCGCCTGGTGAGTCTGTTTGCAAATCCAGCAGGGCACTCCCGCCTCTGCAGGGCCTGGACCCCGTGGCCCAGCCTGGCGGGACCCTGCATGAGGCACCGCCAGTTCACAGAGCCAACCTTCCGTGAGTTATTGTTACAGTGTAAAGACAAATACCTGCCCAGAGTTCTGCCAGGCACAGGGTGTCAGAAAAGAGGGCAGTTGGGAAGTCACTGCTTCTCATTGTGGACTTTAGTTCACAGGATCAAAACTACCCAAGTAGCTCAATAATCTGCACCTGGCAGGAATCTTGATGTATCTGCACCCAACTTCTGCTGGGAAGTGGGAAGCTGCAGCGCCTGAGGCGAGGAGGCGCCCTGGCCTCCACCCCAGGTCACCACCTGCTCCACCTCACCTGGCACCCTGCATCTGCCCACTAGCTTTGTAAAACAGGAAGACTTACAGGTCATTCACAGGAATTTATCCAACATCTACTATGGGTTATTTACCAGGTGAGGAGAAATCATAAAGTTCTTCTCTCCTGCAGCAGAAAGGACACACTAATAAAAACAGAACACAGTATTTCTAACTAGTCGAGGCACCAAAATGGCAGAGCCCCTCCCTCAATCCTATGGACAGCAGGTGTGATGCCTCAGCAGGTTATCCAGGCTCTGGACTATGCTTTATCAACTTTATCTTGACGTTGCATCTGGTTTTCTTTGGTTTTTGTCTTTGCAATGCTGGGGTCTGAACCCAGGGCTTTGTGCATGCCAGGCAAACACTCTACCACTGAGCTCCGCCCCCAGACCTGAATAGTCCCACCTGGTCAGGACTGTTAGAGGATTTAAAAGTTCACAGCTAGAATTCATATGCATTGCAGCAAAAAAAAAAAAAAAAAAAATTCACTAGTAAATAATGCTTTTTTCACCCATTCTCTTGTCAATGATCACTAAGGCTAGTTCTCTATTTCTGCTACTACAAACAGTACTAAAATGAGTCCTCTCGTACCTACTGCCTGATATACATTAGCAAGAGGTTTCTGAAGCAGATACCTAGAAGTTAAAATGCTGTCCTCATGGGCAAATGTTCGTCCTTACCACGAGTATCCTAATTCATCCTCTGAAAGAGATGAAGTTCAGAAATCACTGCTGGGGGTGGATTTTTCAGTCCTAAAGGGCTATTAGGAGCAATGGGCAATGTTTACAAAGACAGGCAGGTACACGTGGTTGACACCATTTAAAAGGGAGGAATGAGAAATACAAAATTCAGGGCAGGACTACCTCTGGGTGATGGACGGTGGGGAGTCCAGGAGAACAGGCGGGAGACGGGGCTTGCTGGCAGGGGCTTTGCTCTCGGAGCAACGCTGGTTCTCCTTATTGTGCTTTAGTTTATATTAAACAAAGTACTGATCATTCTACAGAAAGAAAAAAACTATTTTTGTAAATGTAGTCAGCACTGAGCCAGGCGCGGGGGCACACACCTGTGATCCCCACTTCTTGGAAGGTGGAGGCAAGAGGATCACCAAGTTCAAAGCCAGCCTTGGCAACTTAGCAAGGCCCTAAACAACTGAGCAAGACCCTTTCTCAAAGTAAAACATAAAAAGAGCTGCAGGGAGGGGACGGAGGTGGGCCTCCAGCAGCACAGGGAGCTCTAAGAGGACAGGGTCAATGTTTTCACTGCTCTGATCCCAGTGGCAAGTACCCACAGCTGGGCAGTCAGCATCAGAGTGATATTTGACAAAAATGAATGTCTCCTTTATAAATGAAGGTGTCAGGGCTAGGGTTGTGGCTCAGCAGTAGGGCGCTCGCCTTGCGTGTGTGAGACCCTGGCACCACATAAAAAATAAATAAATAAAAGATTTTAAAAACAGTTTAAAAAATAAATAAATGAAGGTGTCATAAGCTCCAGAGATTACTCTGGCTTAGAGCGTAGGAAGAAAAAAGAAGATGGCGGAGAAGAGAACAAGAAGCACCTGCTTTAAGATGACAGAGGAGCCCCCAGAGGTGACTGGGAGGGAGAGGTATGGAAAGTAGCAAAGGTGTCAGGAGACTGGCATTGGGCATCTGTCACGTGTCAGACACTGGGCTCAGGACCGTCCCTCAAAACTAACAGATGTTAATACCACACGTGTACATACACACATGTGCTGCTGAAACCCCCAAAGGACAGCACATACGCGGGACACAGGCAATGGTGGGTCTTCCCTCCTTAACACTTCTGTACACCTCTCCCGACAGTTTCCTGCTTAACTCAACTACTCATACTCCTGGGGAGACCAATATGGGTGAAGCAAGGGCACCTGGAGGCTGCATGCAGATTCTCACACTGTCCCCGCACAATGCCTAGAGCTCCTCCCCCAGGCTACTTGCTCCATTGCTGCCCTCTCCTCCTGGCCTCTGAGGAAGGACTCCCCTCCATCCCATCATGCTTGTCTGTTTTTCATGACCTTGACTTTTTAGAGGCCAGGCTGTTTGTTCTGCAGAATGTCCCACTTATGGACTGATCTGCTTCTCTGGCCATGATCAGCCTTGCAGGGAAGCACAGGTGTGTTCTGCAAACCTGGAGGTGCAGGTGCAAGGTCCCCACCATGACATGAGTTCAAAATTCCAGTGATCAGTGGAAGTTCCCACTCGAGGTAATTTTGTCTTCATTATCCTGGAGGAGGTAAGAGTCTGTTCAGACCTCAGGATCCTGTGCGTCCACACCCATTTACCCAGGGGCACTTGGCAGCCAATGAAGATGTCGCCTGAATCTGGCATGGCACTGAGGGTGCAGGACAATGACATCCTAATCCTGCCTTCCTCTCTGCCCTTGCCAGTGGGCCCTCACTCCCTGTTTGGTCTCCATGCAGAACATCACTGTAATCCCTTGGATTTGGTTTGTTTTTACACTTACCTTCAGCTACTACTCTCACTCTTGTTGATGCTCAAACTGTCCCAAGCTCAGAAGTACCGTGGAGTCTCAGTCTGTCCTTACCAGTTCCCCATGGGTCCCCATGCTCCTCCTTGCTTCCTGCCCAAAGCTAGCTCAACCCACCTTACACTCTTCCAATGTCTGACTCTCCACGGGGCCCTGATTCCTTGTGTGTCAATGATACTAAGATACAAGATGAGCATCTCTACATGGGACTACCCTGCTTCTCCATCTGCAGAGGGATTTTACTTTTGCTATGGAAAGATGGAAAGACTTGTTCAAGTTTTAATAGCTACAGGCAAGTAACCACTTCAGGGTCTATAGTTTTTTACTCATTTTAAATAGGATGAAGGATGCTGAGCAGGATTATACCTTGAAGAGAAGTAGCCTCTAGATAGAGTGTGATACTGAAAATAACAAAAAGAATAACCTAAGAAGAAAGATTACAAGGAAGCAGACATAGTTTGCATGCCCCAGACCCCACATCACACACACACCCCTGCCCCTGTGGAATAAAACAAAACTGGTCCTGGCCTGTTTCCTGATGCTGGGTAAGTCACAAGCGTGACACCATAGTGCCAGAAGAGAGCCCTTGCCCTGGTTGGACACTACACCTGAGGCATCCAGCAGCTCCCACGAGTCACAGCTAGACCTAGCATTTCCTTGAATGATCCCACTGAAATCCATTGGAAGGGTGAGAAGACCACACGTGGACTGGTCTAAAAAGGACATGGGGTTCCACCATGGATCCCAGGCAGCGGACCCCAGAACTAGCAAAATGTCAGTCTGCGGTTTCAAACCTACTCTGAGCACCATGTTTAGGCTGAATGAAAACTCTTGCCACATTCAAGCTCTACCAGTTTCAACAGCAATCTCCTTGTTCCACTGTCACGTGTTTAGAGAAACACAAAGGCGTTTCAGAATTGGCCAATTCGTATGCTAGTGTCACAATATGTTTTATTGAAATCAAAGGTTACTGCTCCTTCCAACAGGGATCCACACTCAGAGCAGGAAGGACAAACAGAGTGTGCGGAAGGCCTTCTGTGCAGTGTTCCTGAACCGTTACGCTCTTTCCCTGTGGTTCTGTACTCCTGAATGCCAAACAAGCACACAGGTGGTTGCTATTGAGCTACCGAGTGAAAGCTATCTGCTGCCTCAGAAATGGAGATCTGTTCTCTTGCACTGCAAGGAGATCTCCAGGCCGTCCTTGGGCCGGTTCTAAGGATCCCAGTACTCCTGCCCAGCTGAGCAATGCACCCATGACCTGGGAGGCAGGAAGAGGTCAGAGAGCCACTTCCTTTCCTGGCCCCAGGGAAAAGAGCCTCATGTTCTCAAGCAATGCTGCAGAGAACAGGCTGGGGAAATCAGTGCAGGAGGGCCTGGGCTGCTTCCCTCACCTCCTCTCTGAGGGCCAATTCCTGAGACTGGAATGCAGGGGTCTTCAGAAACAAAGTTCCCCCCACCTACCATCAGAAAGCACCGCTGGGCCACACAGAAATTCAGAGCACTTCCAAACATCACTGTCAAGCAAAGAGTTTCTACGTTCCCACAGATTTTGCAACCTAATCAATAGTCATCAACACTGACAACCAGGAGCAAGTAAAGGAAAACAGCAATAAACATGCTGAATATTTCAATCATGAAAGCTGAATTTTAAAAATAAGCATGGACACACTTCCCTAGTGAAAACAGTCTAGTGCTCATTTAACTTACTTAATTCTTCCTTTTATTTCTTCCTGTAATACAGAATCCTAATGATGATACACCGTGGCCACTTCAAGAAGACAAACACTGGTTGGGCTGCATCGCTCCACTAAAGGAGACCTCCTTTATGCAAACAAATCAAAAAGGTAACTGAAAACGTGCCAAGGGTTATCAAGAGGGTTGTTGATTTTGTCCAAATGTTAGGGAATATTTTGGGAATAATAAGGAAATGTTTCCTCTTATTCAGAGAAAGTGGATTTACACACAAGATTAGGTTGGTAGGTGTGTAAGAGAGAAGCAGGCCACCAGGTTGCCAGACAAAACAGAAAAACAAGCCAGAGAGGAAACCCAGTGCTGGCTGAGCATGTTTTAGTAAGATGCATGTGTTTCTGGAGGGGGCAGTGCTCTGGGTAGGTACTATGTAAATCCCATGCAAAGAGCGAGCCCTGAGACTGCATGCCCTCTCCAACCTGAAAACCCAAAACAGCACAATCCTGGGACCCCACACTGCACCAAAGGCACTCAGGACCGGGGCACTCAGGGTCTGGATCAGGCTAAACCTTCTGTATTGTAGCTAGGAAGGAAGGCGAGCGGGCAGGCGAGGGAAGGTGGGCGGGCAGGCGGACAGAAGGTGGGAGGAAATGGAGAGGGGACCTGTATGCTGCTCCCATTACACCTGTCTTTGGACCCCATAAACCCCACTTTCTCATATTTCATTGTGTTCCAAAGCAGCAGCAGCAGCAGAGGTGAATCCCTGTGCCAGGCACTGGTTCTGGAGAGCTCCACCTAGGGAGGGTGAACACTTGAACCAGGCAGTCTCCCTTAGAAGTCCAGCCATGTACAGAGACCTTTTTTAAACACCATGTCAGGGAGTTAGGAGGCACCTTCTGCATTCCTGAGGCCTCACAGGGAACCTGGAGGTCACTATCAAAGCAGAGCTCCGCACAATGGAAGCCCTCGAAGGCTCAGCCAAAGGCCTGGCCTTATGCAGCTGCTCCCACCCCTCTTCTCTTGCCACCTGTGCTGCCACTTACCTCTCCTCCTTAAAGGGCTGGGACAGGCTGGAGAGAACAGCACCTCCAAGGAGCAAGACCAGGGGCAGAAGGACAGTGTCCCAAGAGAGTCTCTCCTTTTCTTTCTGATTCGTTTGGTTCTTGCTTATTTTTACATGACTGTATAAAATCTGCACAGCACGGGACTATTCCCTGCATTTGTAAAATGCCTCTAAGTCCCAGTAGGTCCCTTCAGTGGGAGCTAATCATCTCTTGGAGACGAGAGGAGACTGCTGAGACATCACAAGGTCAAAGTGACACAGTCTTTTCTATGATCCTGTCCTGTTTTTCAAGCAATCATATTCTTGCATTTTGGCCTGAAAATACACAAGGCCTCACTTGCCGTGTCTGCCTTAGGAGGGCTCCTTTGTCGTTCATTTCTCCCTTGACCAGTGTCTGACCTGCCCTTAGGAAAGTCTGCGGCATACTGTGACAACTGGGACCACAGAGGGAGGGCCCTTATCATCAACACCACTGCTATAAGATGTTCCCAATGCTTCAAGATCAAGGTCATGATGGGAGGTAGCTCATGGCTCATTTGGAGTGTATCTTGAAGATGAGGCCATTTGCCCCTGCGTGAACTTCTGCCCTGGCAGAACAGACAGCGGCTTGGGCAGAAAGGCACCCTCCCCCAGCCAGCCTCGCCCCTACCCAGCAGGTCTCACACCCTTCCATCCTAAAACAGAGCCTCATCTGCAACTACTGCCAAAATAGCAAGACAGAGCTTGAGGAAAAGACCCACAGCTCCCTCCAGATCCTGGAGGCACACCTGGGTCAAGCCACCACCACCACACTCACAGGGGGCGGGAGGCAGAGGTGTGCCAGGCATGGCCAGGATGGTACGTGCAGATTCTGGGCATTCTGGGGAGTCACAGAACAGCACCTGGCCACTAGGAGACCTTTCAACTCAAAAATCCCTGAGTGCCAACGCCTGAGGAAAGGACTTCCTCCAGCTGTCTAGGAGGGGGGGAGTCGTGAGTCTCCTGGAACAATTTATGGGAAATCTTTTACATTTTCTATACATAGTGGCTTCTAGAACATTTCTAAAAGGGAATGCAATGCATTTGGCTCTCATTAAATCGTTTCTGGGAAATTCTTCACCGTTTCACTACACAATTATATTTTACATAGTTCACGTTTCTCCTCTTCAATATACAATGTGTAGTTTTCATTTGAGAATTAAATTCAAGTGAATCCCATAAATACTGACTGGCTACCAGGAGTACTGCCCTAGATGATTGAGGGGACGGTGTCCCTAGCACTGAGACACCAAACCAGACTGGGAACACAGAGCGGTATGCATTCTCTCAAGCTCTGTGAGACCGACTTCTAGGCAAAAATGTACCTGATGGTCCGGGGATGCCTTACTTAGTTAACTGAAGGCCACTGTCACAGTGGACAGTTAAAAGTGGAAACCAGGTTCCTCCTCACTTGGCATCTGAAGCATGATCTTAGGTTCGATGCTGAATGTCACCAAAGGCCCACTGCAACAGGTTTGGTCCTCAATGTTGCTGAGAGAAGGAGATGGGACTTTCAAGAGGGGCCACAGTGGGAGTGGGAGACCTTGATCATTGAGGACACGCCCTTGAGGGGGTGAAGGGGTTGAGAGAGTCCGGTCTCCCAACCAGCACTTAGTTACAGTAAAAGAAAGCTGACTAACACAATACAAAGCAAGACCATATGCAGAAAGGCCACAGAAAATGGGCAAAGAAGCAAACCCATGTGCTCTGAGCTCAACAAGTCAGGGCTAGAGGGAAGAGAAAGGCTAAAACCCGAGGAAAGTGTTTGAAGAAGTGAGTTAGGTAATTTTTCTTTCACTGAAAGTCAACAGACTGGCAAAAATCAAATGGCTATAAATATTCCTACTTTAGCCATACGGCACACACACGGGAAAGATACATGGAAGACATTCTTGTGAGGAAAGCAGCATAGAGGCTGGTGTGGACCTGCATTTTGGTGTGGAATGCAACTGGATTTCACATTCCCAGTTCCACCTGCCACACCTCCTTGATCCCAGTGCCCTGTGCCCCACCTCCTTGGTTTGACTGGCACAGCGCATCACATGCTGTGCATAAAGCATGATGCCAGCCACCAGAAATACAGGACAGACAAGGCACAACTCTGGCCTGTGGGAGCCACTATCCTCTGCCCCCTCTCCCACAATGTTGGACTAGACATAAATATCATAAGAGCGGGATTCCATGTATTGTATTCCCAGAGTGCAGGCAACTAATATCTAATACCCTAATATCCTAAATATCATCTAATATCCCAAATATCACGCTAAGACATAATGACTAAACAATGGCACGGTCTGAAAGCCCATGTGCAGTTGAAGCAACACTCAGAAACAAAACAGCCAGAGAGCTGAGTGTGGGGCCAGGGGCCGGGCACAGAACTGTGGACACCAAGAAGGGACTCCACCCTGCCCATCCGAGGCTTGAGGGGAGATGCTCCCCAAGGGAGGTGACATCCCTGCAGAGGGCTCAATGAAAGATCCAAGGGGATGGGGGACCCACAAGGAGGTCAAAGAACCCATGGGATAGAGGAGACAGGGATGAGACCACCAGGGCCTTTGGTTTCCAGGTTACAGTCAGTGATGTGGGTCATCCAGAGGACATTTGCTCTGAGCACCAAATAACCATCTGAATAAATTCCTTCCTGTGCTGTAAATCAGTGCTTCCCATATCCATGAAGAAAATACAGGGTGCTACAACACAGGAAGTTTCTGGAGACACTCATCATTGAGTTTCATATGTAATTCTGAATTTTCTAGGAGCCACATACTTAAAATAGTAAAATTAACTGAAATTAAAAGAGCACATTATATTTAATAAAACAGATAATAAAAATTTAAAATATTAGATATTTTACATTTTTACCACTGAGTCTATAAAATCCAGTGTACATTTGACATCTGCAGCCCATATCCACCTGACTGCCCACCGTTTGGGAGTGCTCAATGGCACTGAGCTATCATTATGGCTAACGGCCGCCGCACAAGACAGTACAGATCTGGAATGTCCTTTGGAAACATTTCGTAGAATTTTTGTACAAATATTATCATCTACTCTCTTTGCTTAAAAGTTTATAAAAACAATACAATAAATATTTCAACATTAAATAAAAAACCCACAGAAAAAGCTCAATTTTGAAAAGGTACCCATAATCATACATTAAAAATGCCAGTTAACTTTTGGATTTTATGTTTATAGGATACTGTTTTATGTCTAAAATACACATAGGGTAGGCTGTTTAAAAAAGATCTGTATCAGCTGGGCGCAGTGGCACACGTCTGTAATCCCGGCAGCTCAAGAGGCTGAGGCAGGAGGATTGCAAGTTCAAATTCAACCTCAGCAAAAGTGAGGCACTAAGCAATTCAGTGAGACCCTGTCTCTAAATAAAATACAAAATAGGGCGGGGGATGAGGCTCAGTGGTCAAGCACCCCTGAGTTCATTCCCCAGCCCAAAAAAGGTCTGTATCAACAATTTTAATGTGTGATATTTGGACTCATTTTCACAAATCCATAACATTTATCTTTTAAAATATATAATATTTATGACCCAGGTAGAGACCTAATATATTGAATAAGGAGCTATGAGCAAAATGAAAGACTGAGTCTGCTTTCCCAGTTAGTGCCTGGAAGACCACATGCAGGAGAACTTCCTAGAACGGTGGGGTCACCCTCATTTTAAGAAACACTGGTCTCCATATGACCCACAAGTTCTCACGCTGCTCAGTTTCCCCAGTTTTCCTCTATGATCATCAGAATGTTCTGTTCTTCCCTTTTTATTCCAGAAAGAAAGAAAGAAGGGCAGGAGGGGGCACCCGGTCAGGGGCTGGGCACAGGGGTGGTTCCAGAGCTGTGTGCCCACCCCCATGCCCTTGCTCTGTCCTCCGCGGGTGTGCAGGACTCCTAGAGTAACTCGTCACCTCTCTCCCAGGCCTCTGCCTTCAGAGCCACAAGATGCTCAATTCCACGAGCTCGCCAACGCCAGGCCCGCCCTGCTCCCGGAACACGCTCATCACCCAATACATCATCCCGGTGCTGTACCTTCTGGTCTTCCTGGCAGGGGTCCTGCTCAATGGCGTGTCGGGCTGGGTCTTCCTCTACGTGCCCAGCTCCAAGAGTTTCATTATCTATCTCAAGAACATTGTGGTTGCTGACTTTCTGATGGGCCTGACTTTCCCCTTCAAGATCCTGGGCGACTCGGGCCTGGCCCCCTGGCAGCTGAGCGTGTTCGTGTGCAGGGTCTCGGCCGTGATCTTCTACGTCAGCATGTACGTGGGCATCGTCTTCTTCGGGCTCATCAGCTTCGACAGGTATTACAAAATCGTGAAGCCCCTCCTGACCTCCTTCGTCCAGTCGGTGAGCTACAGCAAGCTGCTGTCGGTGGCTGTGTGGGCGCTCATGCTGCTGCTGGCCATTCCCAACATCATCCTGACCGACCAGCGCGTCCAGGAAGGCAGGAGAGTGCAGTGCATGGAACTCAAGAACGAGCTAGGACGCAAGTGGCACAAGGCGTCCAACTACGTCTTTGTGGGCATCTTCTGGCTCGTGTTCCTCCTGCTGATTGTCTTCTACACTGCCATCACCAGGAAGATCTTCAAGTCCCACCTCAGCTCCAGAAGGAGATCCATCTCGGTCAAAAGGAAATCCAGCCGCAACATCTTCAGCATCGTGCTTGTGTTCTTTGTCTGTTTTGTGCCTTACCACGTGGCCCGGATCCCCTACACCATGAGTCAAACCGGAACCTACTACAGCTGCCAGGCAAAAGAGATCCTGCTCTACGTGAAAGAATTCACCCTGCTGCTCTCTGCTGCCAACGTGTGTCTGGACCCCGTTATTTATTTCTTCTTATGCCAGCCATTTAGGGAAATCTTATGTAAGAAACTGCACATCTCATTTCAAGCTCAGAATGACTCAGACCCTTGCAGAATCAAAAGGGGCAACACAATGCAGGAAAGCACAGACACGCTGTGAACTTCCGGCCCTTCCCACTAGACCATTACAAGCTCGTGACCACCTCCAGCTGCCGGGAAATGAGCAAGAGCAAAGAACACGCCACTTGCTCATCACTGGCAAAAGACCCAGCATCACCATCCAATACCGACAGGACTTATGAAGCCCCAGGGGCTCAGTACAACGATCAAATTCAAATGTTTCCAAGCTTTTCTGTAACATTAAAGGGCGTGGGATCCCTTCTGCAGGTTTTCCTAGTACTGACCATTATTTTTCTTGGAAAGAATAATACATACAATCATTCAATCCTATTCCATCAAAATAGCAGGTTTAAATTTATATTAAGTAACCTGAACAGTTAAAGTAGAATTTTAAATTGGTAAATAAAGAAATCCAAGACAATTCACATATGTGTCCTCTTTTTTCATATGCAAGAATTAAGTCAGTAAGATATATGATCTTTGTCAGCAGCAATCTTAAAGACCAGCTTAAAAACAGGCAGAGTTTGATAAAGGGCTGTTTGAAGTGAAAAAGTCAGGTTTTCTCTGATTTGAAGCAGAAAATCAATTAGAAGACCCCTTATTTATTCAAGTCATTTCAAAAGAAAGCAGATTTGAGTTAAGCACTGTGCAGTAAGATCGTAATTTTTACTAATGCAATTTTAAGAATAGTACATGCATGTTAAATATATCTTATAAAAGACCTATTAAGCCATCTAATGAGCTGGAGTTCTGGTATTAGACAAGGTCTAAGATGACTCTACAAGCAAAGCCAGACCCAGGAGGTACTTTCAGCAACTCCCTCTACTCCATAGTATGAGTGCAGATAGGATAATGGAAACACACACACACATACACACACACACACGCGCGCGCGCGCATGACATAATTATCTTGTAGGGTGGGGCGAGAGAGTTTCTTAGAAAGCAAATGGATTTGATAAAAAGAAGATCTAGCCAAGCATATAGTGGTGCATGCCTCCCAGCTACTCAGGAGGCTAAGGCAGGAGGAACGCAAGTCAGAGGCCTACCTCCACAACTTATCAAGACTCTGTCTCAAAATAAAAATCAAAGGGGCTGGGGATGGAGCCCAGCGGTAAAGCACCCCCTGGGTTCAAGGCCAGTACTAAGGAAACAAATAGGGAAAAAAAGGAAGAAAATCTAAAACATAAAATAAGTACTGGCAGTTTACACATAATATGAACATTCATATATCACATTTTCTAGAAAACAGATAAATGTGATACATGGAGATATGGAATACGGTTGCTGGTGTAACAATTACCAAGGCACAATTTTTTTTCTGTTTATTAACTGGCTAGAAGACATTCAGTCCATCCTTCAAAGAGTCTTCCCAAATGTTTTTAGTGTTTGTATCTCTTTCATCCTTCACTATATCTGTATCAATAAATAAAATTATTTTCAAGACTGTCAATTTTTTCTTAAAAATAATAGCACAAGGATACACCAGCAGATCTCACAGTCAGGGGATTCTCGACATGCCCCCTTGCACAGGCTCCAGGGGTGAGTCACCTAAAGACTGAACATTCTATTTGTCACTGATATGTTTCAAACTAAGCAGGTCATGCTCAGGACCTCCTCACGGTTTAGGAAAAACCCAGAAAACAGGTGCTGTTGAAGAGGAGCTGGGAAGTGCCCCCACCCATGTCAACCCCCACCTCCCTGCCCACGCCTGCTCGGCACACAGCCAAAACGGACTACAATCCCTAGGCTCCGCAGACGTCCCTGGTGGAAGGGCGTGTCCTGGCTTGGGCCAGTAAACTTGCTAAACAGTCTGGCTGTGCTTATTCTTCATGACTCCCCCTGACCAGGGCCCATGGGTGAATCCTGGAGTCTTAAATGTCCCTTTCTGGGCCACAGGAGAAAGTGAAAGCTCAAAGGAGAAGAGGAAGTGCTCGCCAAGGGATGCTAATGGCTTGCGTCACCTCCTCAGTCCTTGGGAAAGTCACTCTTCCCTGAGGTGCCAAGGACTGACTGCGTGGTAAGCAGGACCCTGGAGCAGGCTGGTCACGCATGTGCAAGAGTGGTCAGGAAGCAGTGCACAGAGTAGATAAGGGTGCTCTGAAGCCACAGCAGAGGAGCAGCTCCTGTTCCAGCTTGTAGGCTCAGAGCAACATCTGGAAACAAAGGTGCCCTGCCAGCAAATGGGCAGCCAGGACCCCTGGGGTCAGCAGGACAGGGGCAGATGGACAGCAGGGCACTCCCAGCTCCGCCATAGCTAGTAGGTGCACAAGCCCTCCTGCATTCAGGGTGCAGCAGGGGACGAGGTGCCTGTGAGGACAGAGAAGGCTGCAATGGGTGCAAGCCAAGAGCGGAAGCCAGGATGGCGGTGAGCTGAGAGTTGCCCCCCCCCCCAGAGCAGACGCTCCTAGCTCCAGCCAGTCACTTCCTCATTCTCCACAGGAGATGTAAGACCACCCAGTTTTTTAACTGTTGGGCTAACAACTAAGAAAACGCACCCCTGGAACTGGCTATGCAAAGTGGGTACCCACTCCGCAACATCTGAAATGTAGAAAACTAACAGAAAGGAGCCCAAAGCAGCTTATGACTGCAACTAAACACCTCTCCTGACTAAAGAGCCCCCACTGTGTTACCTCAAGTGAGGTTTCCACATCAGTGCACAGTTAATTCAAGTATCTAAGCTGTTTCATAAAAAGAATATTTGGAATAAGAAGAATCAAGAAATGTCACAGAGGGGCCGGGAGGCGGAGTGAGCCCGGGTGGGGGGCGGGGGAACAGGGGGTGGAGAGCGGGAGGAGGGGGCAGAGAGTCAGCATTGACAAGGGAGTGGGGGCTGAGAGCCAGGGGCCTGGCAGAGAGCAGGGGGCAGGGAATTTAAAGAAAAAGAAACAAGAAAAAAAAAAAAAGAAATGTCACAGAAAGATCACCATCATGTGAGATGGTGGCACATGGCACCTACCCACAGAGGCGGGTAGCAGCAGCAGGGCTACCCAAAGTCTCCTCCGCCCACACCCTCTTTGCTCAGATGACACAAGTACAGGTTCCTATTGGGAAAGTCACACTTCCCTGTCCTGGTGATTAGCAGGTCTCGGTTCACTGACCACAGGTTGGGACGGCACAGGACCCAATGTGACCCAATGACAGCGAGGCCCAGGCTCTGGAGAAACTTCTGGAAGGGATGCCATACACACGTAAAACCTAGAAGTGCACCCTTCACTTGGGCACCCCACAGACAAAACTCAGGCGTCCTCTGAATGAAAAGAGGGCAGCTGCAGAAACGGCACAGTGTGAGCCGTGTCCACCTTGGCCTACAGCCATGGCCCCCAGCTCTGGGCATGCCAGCCAGTAAGACGTATTGTACATGCTCAATTTCCCTTGTGGTGGGGAAGGGACACCAATCAATTGGAAAATCTCAATACACTGGCTTCATCTAAAAGAATGATCTGGAAAACATGTTCATACCAAGCTTTGCTCCTCCTTATATCAGTGAGGTCCATCATTTCTGTACTCTGTCTTTAACATGTGCCCAAAACCTGATCTTTTTACCAACTTTGGAGACAAAAACTTTCTATGAGTACAAAAATACCTATAACACCAAAGACCACGGACATATTACCACACAGAGCATTGTCTACAGAGGGAATGGGGGTGCCTGGACCTGCTGACCTGCAGGGCCTGCACTACGGCCTGGGGGAACTGTATTGTGCAGTACTCAGCAGAAGAGCCACCACTTCCTTTTGGTCACCTGTTCTCTGTAAGACTCGAGTGATATGCAGATGACCATTTCAAGTCAGGCCATCACCCCAAAAAGAACCACTTCAATGAAATATGGCTCTCTTTCCCCTGCAGTTTGCAAGGAGGTTTAACCTCTTTGTAGCACCACTTGTACACAAGAATTAAATGTCACACTGATTTATCTGCCATAAATTTATAATGTAAATGTTATTTATAAGATAATTACAGAAAAGACATGTTTACACAAAATAAGGTGTTTTCCAAAGCAGTTTGGGGTCTTATAGGGACTATAAGATGTTACTACATTCCCACCTCTGCATTTCCAACAGAAATTTTAGGACAAGCACGGAGGGAGTGGGGGGTGTCTAGGAAGAATGGCACTATCTGATCAACAGGAAAACACAGGATGAGCGATTCCCTGAGAAAGCCTGCAGACTCCCGGGGCTTTTCCTCACTGCTGGGATTACTTGCTGCTCTTTGAAGGGGCTCACGGCAAGATTCTGAGGCTCCTCCCAGATTCACAGACAGCTGATGTCTTCTTCCCAAGCCTCCTCTCCCCACTTCTACACACCGCCTCAAATGCCTTCAGGACCTGCAATGCAGGACTTTAGACAAGGGGTAACCTTGTGCCATTATCCCCTCCAGGATCCTCAGCCTAACTCTCCCAGTGCAAGTCAGGGCAGGCCCTGGGCGGTACATTCCCTTCTCCCCCAATCCTCTGAATTTGACAGCTGCTAAACCTCCCGGGAAGTTCATGGCAAAGTCCTAAGGAAGGACTATCAGTTGCTTCTGAGGCTTAGGACTGAAAGGAGAAGCCAATCCTCACATTGTTTGTAAAGTAAAAGCCAATTTAAACCACATCAAATCCACCTGCTCATTAATAAGAACATGCAGCCACATAGAAAGTTCTGAATCACATGACCAACTGTGTTTTTTGGTCTGGTTGATATTACAAATATCAGAGGAGAACACAATTTTAAATAAGAAAACCAGAGTCACAATCACTGATGTTCAAAATGAGAGATCAGAAAATCTTGGCCAATGACCTACAAAATGCTATGAGGATTATTTAATATCTACTGAAAATGAACAGAATAAAGATCAATCTATGCCATACCCAATGATGTGGTGGTTTTCCTTGTAAGCCAGGAAACCACACTGGCTTTCCTCCCCACCACTGGGTCCCTCCTCAGGCCTGCCCCCACCCCTGACCCTGGGGCCTGGACTCCCACGGCTCTGCTCACACCACTCGGTGACTTCACCTCTGCGGAGATTCCCAGCAGCAAAGCCCTCCCCCATGACTTCAGACCCTCCTGGCCTCTCACCCAACAGGACTACAATCCTCCCAAGTGGCTTCCTGTCTTCTAGCATCTCCTGACCCAGCGGGCTCCCATAGCTTGCTAATTACAGTCCTTGGGAACATCCAAGATAGGGTCTCAGCCCCTTCCTCTAATAGATCCTGTAATGCCACCCAGATCACAGGAGATTGGGGACCTGAAGCTCTGGACCTCAGTTCTTAGGTCCCGACAAAAGAAAATGTAAAGTCAGGCCAAAAAGTCAAGCCAGAGACTCTTGTTATGACTGAAAGCGATGTAAGGCTCAAGCAGAGAGCCTGAGCTGCCTCCAGCAGAGAACCACAAACACTGCTGCTGCCATGCCCACTGCTGTCCATGGTCTGCACCATGGTCACCACCAGATGTGGCTCAGTGGTAATGTGCCCCTGAGCTCCATCCCCAAGACCCCCCCCAAACCAAAAAATAATAATAATAAAAATAAAACTACTCTACCTAATCACATGAGTCACCCTCGTACCTGAAGCCATGCGTCTCAGGTAGCATTAGGAAACAGTGAGCTAATCTGAATGAGTAAGGGAAGTACATGCTTAAAGAAAATCTTCCAAACTTTAAGCATAGCAACCCAGACAAAGGGCAGACAGACACGGAGACATGGCGGCTGCTCCAGAGGTCATGGACCATAAAAATCTTCCCGCACATTATTTTGAGCTGAGCTCACATTCCAGAGGGTGCAACTCCATGAGGAAGGTGGGAAGAGTGGCATTGACGTTCCCATGGTCATAACACTAAGCAGGGGACCTGGACTGACCTGATGGCCTACTTAATGACCACTGTCTGTCCCCACCCAGCACTTTCCCAATAAACAAGAGTAAGTGAGAGAGAGTGCTGATTCTAGCTGGGTGGTGTTGGTCAGGTCTTAATTTCTCCACGCCTCAGCTTTCCCATCTGTAGAGGGTGGAATCTCCCAGGCCTTGTGGATGGTTTTCTTGATTTAAGAAAATAAGCCAGACACAGTTGCCGCAGTCCGGCTGCAGCAAAATAACCGGGGAGTGATGAACAACTTGTGTACACTGATACAGCAGGAGTGGGAGCCGTTTATTGTAGGATAGGAGGGGTATATATACATTCCACACAGCTTATCTTAATTAACATAAACTAGACACAGCAGTCAACCAATAAGGAATCTCCACACTTAATGGCTCGCTGGCGTTACTTCACAAACCACTCCCTCTGGCAAAATGCCAGGCACCATCTTGACTTGTTTACAGACCCTTACACACAGTGGCTCTATCATCCTAGAGACTCAGGAGACTGAGGCAGGAGGATCGTCAAGTTCAAAATTGGCCTCAGCAACTTAGTGAGACCCTGTCTAAAAATAAAACACAAAAAGGGCTAGGAATGTGGCTCAGTAGTATAGTGTCCCTGGGTTCAATCCCAAAAAATAGAAAGAAAAGTTCCCAGTTCCTGGCTGTGGTGGGGCCTAAAAAGCAAATTTTAAAAATTATATACATCAAAAAGAAATACTCCCATTGAAATGGTGTTTGGTATTTGTATTCTATAAAACCAAAAGTGTACAGGTAACAGAGCTGAAAACAAAGACATCCTTTTTCCTCCACTTATAACTTATGGGACAATTTATCATCTTACACATAAAAGTCCATGAAAGTAACAAATACATCATTTCCTAAATAGAAAGTACAACCATGACCGAGGTAAGGAAAAAATAACTTTACCGCGCTTCTTCCCACTTGGGCTCATGAAGCACTAGGTCAGTGACAACACGCATTTCCTGGAAGGCTAACCAAGAACACTCCGAGAAACAGTTGTCCTTAATGAAACAAAAAGCAGCAGGTTGTGGAAACTCAGATGGAACCTGTACTTTAAAAATCCCTGAGGCTGGGGTTGTGGCTCAGTGGTAGAGCGCTCATCTAGCACATGTGAGGCCCTGGGTTCCATCCTCAGCACCACATAAAATAAAGGTATTATGTCCAACTACAACTAAAAAATAAATATTTTTTTTTAAAAAAATCCCTGGAAAGGGCTGTGGTTGTGACTCAATGGGGGAGCATTTGACTGGCATGTGTGAGGCCCTGGGTTTGATTTTTAGGACTGCTCATAAATAAATAAATATAATGAAGGTCCATCAACAACTAAAACATACATATTTTTAAAAATCCACAGGAGAACACAGTTCCACTGGGCTGACCCTCCATGTGACCAACCTCAACCACCCAACACAGCTGCGCTGTCCACGCTCAATATCCCACGGCAAGGCGGGCACCAAACCAGACACACAGACCTGGTCTTCAAGTCTTCAGAGCAGCTGCTGTGCTTTCCAGTTCTGTCTATGATCCTGAAGTAAACCAGGGAAGTCACGGAAGTGAGCATACAAATATGACAAATGAAGGAAGGACGAAAAGACAGACTTCACCAAAATCCTGGCATCCCAGCTTCCTTCAGGCCATACAAAAGCCCGGGCCACTGGGTTAGCTGTCACCTTACCCCACGTTTCCTCCCCTGCCCAGGGACACAGCCCTGTCCTAACTCCTCACTTACTTGTCTGGCACATGTGTCTCTTCCACAAGAGTCTTTTTTTTTTTTTTTGGTTCTGGAAATTGAACCCAGGGGCTCATAACTACCAAGTCACACCCCAGCTCTTCTTTAATTTTTTAATTTTTATTTTTTTAGTTTTGGGTGGACACGATATCTTTATTTGTTTACGGGGTGCTGAGGATTGAACCCAGTGCCTCACGCATGCTAGGCAAGCACTCTACCACTGAGCCACAACCCCAGCCGCGCCCCCCCCCCGCCCTTTTTTTCCAAAGAAACAGGGTCTTGCTAAATTGCTGAGGCTGGCTTTGAACTTGTGGTCTTCCTGCCTAAGCCCTCCTGAGTCCCTTGGATTATAGGCAGGCACTATTGCGCCCACCTCACAAGTGTGTCTTCACATACATCCTAAAAGATGGAGTACTTCCTTCAACTATTACAATAAAGTTGACCTTGGTACTTCATCAGAAATCAAATGCAAAGCTTGAGAAACAGTTTCCTTCTACTTCATAGTTAAGTCTATATTAAAAAAAAAAAAAAAAAGCAATAGTTATAACTACATGAATTTGGAAGATTAACCAGAATATCTGAATCAAATGACCATTATCACCATGAGCAACCTCAAACTCCTCCTAAATTCACTGTAGCTGGACATGTCTCATCTAGTCTTTTTGGGGGAATTTTTCTAAAAAAAAAAAAAAAAACTAAGTGAAAATACCAAGAAATTGGGTTTAGATTCTAAAGAGGTCTAAATTTTTTTTTTTTTTAAATTTGGAAAACTGACAAAGAACTATAAGGAGAAAAAGAAGAGAAAACAAAGCACCCACCAAGACAATGAGACACTGGAAGAAAGCAGACTGTGACCTCCCAGGCGTGGCTCTGCACTCACAGGTGAACTTCAGACCAGCGTACCAGCTCCCAAAGCGGGCTGGGATCAGAAGCTCATGCTGCCTTTCATAAAGGCAGCCTTATAACAGGGAGCCTTGCAAAGGGTCTGTTGGTGAGGATGAGCGGTTCCTCAAGAGCAAGGACTTCTGCCATGTCCCCTCCAGGCCAGGCTCCTTCCAGACTTCAGCAGACACTTCCCCGCCTCCAGGAGGACAGACACTTGACCAGACAATCCAATAATCTACTAATCACTAAATAACTGTCTCAATTCATGAAGCCGTTTAGTTAAACTGACAAAACACTCCAGTTTCAAGATTTGGAAAAAAATGGTACAATATATTCTGGAATGAAAAACTATAAAACCATGTGAACAATAACATTTTAAGTGCTGTAAACTGGTGAGTGTTACTACGTACACTGAAGAGGTCTTTCTTCATCACCTTCCTGCATCTTTAACTCATAATTCCTTCAAGGCATAAATACTGCCATTCTTGAAATCAAGAAGACGCAGACTATATCTTGGGTAGTTTAAATATTAATATTTTAAATAAAATAAAGCCTAAGTACCACAATGGACAAATAAAAGTCTTTTCTCTCAAAAATAATGACAAATTTGAGTTGTTTAAGAAAACACATGTAGAACTGACTGGGACGTGCTTCTCCGGGAGGCTTTCATGCAGTTAAACTACATGCAAACCACAGTTTCATCTACGTCAATCTGCAACATTTTAAAACCACACAAAAAGGACAGGAAACATTTAGTACAGCCAGGAACCCAGCAACGGGCTCTTGCTGCTGCAACTAACCCAACAGCTCACACTTCTCTGAAGACGAAGAGCTAGGCCAGCTCAGGCTAGAGAAAACACCCCCAGGTATGTCATTTTAAATACTTAAATCTATTCAAAGCTTTTCCACAGAAGGCAAGTTGACGACTCTCGGTTGTCTTTACAGAGTACCAACTATTAAACTCTAAGTAGATCCTGCCTAAAAACTACTCTATGGTTCTGTTCTCTCTGATGCCCCATCCATCTGTCTCAAAAAGACAGTTTAATTCCAACCAAGCTAAATAGCCTGGTGAGCAGTACTCTTCGGTCACTCGGTTTTATAACTGGCTGGACAAAGGCCATGTCACAGGTCTTTCTAGCAGGACACAACGGTCTCAAACTTCCTTTGCTCTAGAAACATACCGTAGATCATTTCACACACTTTGCCTGTGACTCCCATGGAGGATCCAGCCAGGTTTTTGCCAGCCATGGGTACTGTACAGGGGGCAAAGGAGACACTGCAGATCTCTCCTTGGACTGGCTGGAGTACTTGACATTTCCACTGGCTCATAACTGATTGGTAAAATATTCATCAGGCACTTAGTTCTTGAATTTGTGATAGAGAACATAGGATTTCAGAAAGGTATGATTTAAGCTCTAATCAACACAACTGGAAATTCTAAGTAAACCGTTTTCATTGACATCTAGATGGAATTTCATAAAACCATGGTTCTCAGGCTGAAAAGCTGCAGTCTATTTTAAATAAATCACTCACCTATAAAATACATAGTGAATTCTAATTAGAATAATAATTAATCAAATCCAACTATCCTAATTCTTCTCTCTCACATAAGTCTACTGACAAGACATGCCATGTAACTGTGCAGGCACCGGGGAGCTCGCCACACACCATGATGCTACTATCTGTGTAACATTTGGAATGGGAGCACTGAAGTATAATTCCCACCACCCCGTAAGGAGACAAAAGGCACAGGTGGGAGGTGAGATCAGGGCACAATGACACTAGTTTTTGGACTGAGAGGTGAAAAGGCTGCTCATGATTCCAAGGTGCAAATAAATGGCAACCGTCAAAACTCCAGGCACCAAGGAAATTGGGGATGGGCAGGAGTTGGGATGGACCAGGATAAAGGCAGGGAGCCTAGAAGACAATGCTCCAGGACAGCTCCTCACCCTGCTCTGAAAACTGCAAAATCTTGAGTAACACACAAGAGGCAGACCTTGGTCTCCTTGCCTGACTGTATGCTCTCAGTAAAGGTTATGCCCATCACTGATGTCCTGGGATCCCAGAGCTCTACCACCTGCCAAGTACCGGGGCAGCAGGACCTGTTCTCAGACAGTGAAGGTCCCACCAACCTGAACAGGGAATTGGGATGGACAGCGGACACAGCAGCAGACCCCATGCTGAGCACATGCAGGGCCCTGGCCTGCCTCTCAGCCATGGGAGCAGTGGGTAGTAGGGACAGAGGAGGGACCTCAGTTATGGAACTTCAGTTTAACTAGGCTTAGTTTTTAAATATACATATTGTAAAATGAAACAGTAAAGTGCTCGGAGAGTGGACACTTCTTTTATTAGTGCTCAGGGGAAGGTCAAGAGTGAATGTCTTACTTCAGCTTTCACCTGAACACTGCTCAGAACATCAGAACACGATCCTGCCGTGGCTAGTAAGGCCTGGTCTTGTGAGGACTGGTGGATGCACGGTTAAGCGTCTTCATCACATCCCTCACTGTTGTTACTTCCCATGATGATTATGGGGACAGTGTTTTGGAGTGGTGTGGAATGTAGCTTCTGAGAGCAGACTGGGGTCCTGGCTCTAAAACTGAGAGCTACATAACCATAACCAGGGAACCTCGTTACGGCTCACTCTGCTGTCTGCAAAGCACAGACAATGACAGCTATCCCACAGGAGGGATGGAAGGTTCATGGCACACATACAGCCGTCACCAGGCACAAAGTCTGTGCTCCACTGTCCCGGCTGAGTTTGGTATAAAATGATATTTTTCATAGAGCTGAAGCCCTGGTTGGGGTAGATAAAGGGAAGGGCATGTGCCTTATAAGTGATAGCTTAACTTAGGAAGTTTTAGGTGCAAATGTCTTATTAATCTCTTTGCACATATTGTTGCATTCCAAGATTGACACAATATTTCATTAAATAGTTTTTGAGAAAATTAAGACTTCCAAAAGTGTGTGTCTGTCCTTTTGTTTTAAAGAGAGACTAAATGTCTGATGTGACTTTCTAAGTCAGCCACTACATTCAGTATTTCGAACTTTTACAAAGGTTACATATGGATCAGGCACAATGGCACACATCTATAATCCAGTGACTCAGGAGGCTGAGGCTGGGGCAGAGGGTGGCAAGTTCAAGGCCAGCCTCAGCTACTAGTGAGACCCTGTCTCAAAATAAAAATTTTTTTAAAGGGCTGGGAATGTAGTTCAGTGGTAAAACACCATTCTCTTGCCACACCTAACAAAAAAAGGAAAACAGTTTGTATATAATTTTTTTCCACCAAGACACAAATGTAATACTATGATCTTTAAAATGAAGGAAAGTTGGTGCTACTCAGAGCAAAAAGCAGTACCAGAAAAGAGTCCCTGTGGCCCTGGGCATTCGAGTCTGACCAGACCCTGTCAAACGACCCACCCAGCCTGGCCCCCCTAATAAACCCAACCAGGTTTGGGATGTGGGGACAGATGGTGAGATTTTAATGTCGTCTTCAACCCTGATCCAGGCTCTGGGCTCCTGACTTCCCCTAACCTACCACAGAAGGAGAACCACTGGTGGTGAGGTCAGGTGCTCTGATGCTAAGGCAGCGGAGCCTACCTCAATGAGCAAACATCTATGTTCCAGAAGCTTCTAAAATACATCTTTCACAAAACTATGTGGAAACACTGCCAGAGAAACATCTGTACCAGTACTGCCCAACAGCAAGAAAACCAAACCATAAAAATAGTTTGTTTTTCTAGTAGCGACATTCTAACAAGTAAGAAGAAACAGGAGAAAGGAATTTCATTAATATATTAAACCTAATATCCCCCAAGAACACTTCAACACATGCTCATCATAAAATATTAATAAAATCCTAAAAATGCATTGCTAACTTGGTATAACTTGTATAAAACAGTCCAATTAGTATTTCTTACAAGGTCTTTTTTTGTTTGGGTACCGGGCATTGAAATCAAGGATACTCAACCACTGAGCCACATCCCCAGCCCTATTTTTTATATTTTATTTAGAGACAGGGTCTGAGTTGCTTAGCACATCGTTTTTTGCTGAGGCTGGCTTTGGAACCACAATCCTCCTATCTCAGCCTCCAGAGCCACTGGGATTATAGGCATGCGCCTCCACGCACAGCTGCAGAGTGTTTCTGATAACATTTTGTACTACATCTTCAAACCTGATGCTGGACACCACAGGTATATTCCACTGTGACACAGGAGTAACTGGAGGGAGATAAAAAGCACCCATCCAAGACCAGAATCTAATCCTTCTCTCTCTCTCTGCTAGAAAGACAAATGAAATGAAATTTTGGTACTGAAAATGTTCTAACAGGCTACACAGCTTTTAAAGACTATACTTTTCAAGTAACACTTTTCTAATCCAATGGGTTTGTGGCCATCCTGTCCGCTTAGGTTCTCCCAGCATGAGGAGTTACAAAACCCATAAAAAGAAAGCCAGGGCGCCTTGCTGACAGTCACACCACCAGCTTCCTCTCTGAACTTCTCAGAATCTCTGCTCTCTCACATCCTCTGCGCAGTGATAACAGAGCTATCAGAACACAAAACCCTGGGCCAGAGCAAACCCCAAGGTCACAGCATCAGACAATGAAACCCAAGCTTGCCCCAACCCAGGACAGTCCCCCAGGTCATGCAGTCTAGTAAAGGACCCCCTAAGAACTGTAAAGAAGAGGGCATTATGCATGCAAATGGCTTTAAAGAAAATAGTTTCTAATTTTAATTACTAACCTTTCCCCCTTTTTCTTGTTAACAGATTCTTTGGGTTTTTATTGGTTTTGGTTGAAACCATCTTTTCTTTCCCTGAAAATGATGAACAGCTCGTCTTTCTGTCCAGTTTACAGAGATCTAGAGCCATTCACCTATTTTTTTTATCTGGTTTTCCTCATTGGAATTATCGGAAGTTGCTTTGCAGCCTGGGCTTTTACACAGACCCCCACAAATCACAGGTGTGTGAGCATCTACCTGATCAACTTGCTTACTGCCGATTTCCTGCTCACTCTGGCGTTGCCAGTGAAAACTGTTGTGGACCTGGGCGTGGCGCCATGGAAGCTAAGGATATTCCACTGCCAGGTGACAGCCTGCCTGATCTACATTAACATGTACCTATCCATCATCTTCCTGGCCTTTGTCAGCATTGACCGCTACCTCCAGCTGATCCACAGCTGCAAGATCTACCGCATCCAAGAACCTGGATTCGCAAAAATGATCTCCACAGTTGTGTGGCTCATGGTTCTTCTTATAATGGTCCCCAACATGGCAATCCCCATCAAACACATCCGGGAAAAGCCGAATGTAGGCTGCATGGAATTTAAAAATGAATTTGGAAGAAACTGGCATTTGCTGACCAACTTCATATGTGTAGCAATATTTCTGAATTTCTCAGCCATCATTTTAATATCCAACTGCCTTGTGATTCGACAACTCTACAGAAACAGAGATAATGAAAACTACCCAAACGTGAGACGGGCCCTCGTCAGCATCCTCCTGGTAACGGCGGGCTACATCGTTTGCTTCCTGCCCTACCACATTGTGCGGATCCCGTACACTCTCAGCCAGACGGAGGTCATCTCTGACTGCTCCACCAGGATCTCGCTCTTCAAAGCCAAGGAGGCCACGCTGCTACTGGCAGTGTCCAACCTGTGCTTTGACCCTATCCTGTACTATCATCTCTCAAAAGCATTCCGCTCTAAGGTCACTGAGACTTTTGCCTCACCTAAGGAGACTAAGGCCCAGAGAGAAAAAACAAGGTCTGAAAATGATGTATAAAATGTGGGGCTTTCATGCTATTGCCTCCTCCTTTACAGAACCTTTAAAGCTATTTACAGTTTTGAAAGGCGGGAAAAAACGGGGGGTAGGGGTCTTGGTAATAAAAAATACAGACAGCAAGCAAATGTGGACTGTCTTACACAGAAACCCAACTTCTAAATGCAAGCCAATCTCATACTACTACTGCGGTTGTCAAACTACTGAGCCCAGATATTTCTACAAGAAAACCAAAGAGTGTTGTTCAACCAGTGTCAATCCGTGCAGTACCCTTGAAATCAAAAATTGTCCATGACACAGACTCAGGTATTCATTTAACTACCCAGAACTGAACTTTCCAATGAAACAGTAAAATAAGCTCCCTGTGAATTTTCAGGAAGCCCCTCAGCAAAACAATTTTAAAGGACTTCAGATAACTTTAAAAAAGACCAAAAAAAAAAAAAATGTATACAGAACCACCTGTTGCCTGATTTATTTTTAATTCATTACTTAAAAAACAGTAATCCTTCAGTCTGCTACTCCTCCAGGTTTGTTTGTTTGTTTGTTTGTTTGTTTTTTGTAGTTATATATGGTTATATATATGCCTTTATTTTGTTTATTTTTATGTGGTGCTAAGGATCGAACCCAGGGTCTCATGCATGTTAGGCAAGCGCTCTGCCACTGAGCTACAGCCCTAGCCCCTCCTCCAGGTTTTAACATCGAACTTTTTCTAATAGCTAAGAGCTTTGGGGTTTGGGGTTTGGGGTTTGGGGTTGTGGATCAGTGGTAGAGCACTTGCTTAGCATGTGTGAGGCCCTGGGTTCAATTCTCAGCATCGCATATAAAGAAAATAAAGTTCCATTGACCACTAAAATAAATATATATAAAGCTTTTATTTATTAAAAAAAATTTGAAAATTCATGGATAATTTTTAATGTGTTACATATGCTTATATTCAATCAGTAAATTACAAAGGCATCCTATTGTAATAATAAATCTAGTGATTTCATGTTTTTATTTTGTCATACTATGTAACACACAGGCCCTATTTCATTTTCAAAGGGAGTTATTAGATTATACCAGGTATTGAAACTATCATTTCCAAACCAGAAACTCATGTGGAAGGTATGGAAAAATAGCTCCAGATGGCCTTAAAACAGACACAGCAGCGCCACAGAGCAGGCCATGTAAAGGACACGAGGGCTGGGCCAGTGGCCAGCTCAGGCCCAGGGAGATGAGCCTGCCCCACGTGGGGCAGGCTATTTGAAATACAGGAGACTCCAATGCTCAGGGTCCCGGCTCTGATCAAATTCTCTCCATGGCCAGTGATACAGGTAGGCCTCAGCACATAGGAGTAAACAGCAGTCAGTCGGAGGAGGGTGGGAAAGTTTGGCAAGCGCACGTGAGTCTCAGCCCTCAGCATCATTAGTCAAACCTTGACCAACAGCTGGCAGCAGACCGCATCGTCTGCCATGGTTAAGAAACAGTGGCCCTGGGTGTCATGTCCAATTCTGAATTCATTTTTGCATATGGAGAATCCTTTTCTAAAATCTGAAACTCTTATCTACAATTTTGCAAATATATTTTCTGAGTCTGAAATGAATTATAAATGACAAAATGCAGAAAGTATCTACTAAAAAATGTGTAACAAGTTAAGTCTGGACATATCTGGCCTGCAGGTAACAAGGACAGCAACACCATCAGCATCGCAGGCCGATGTCCAGACTGCAGAACACCTGTGCATGCTGGTGGCCTGAACGACAGGCTTGCTGATGGGCAGATGAAAATGGCATCTGTGCAGCAGTGTACATGAAGCTGGTGTGTGTCTGTGGACCGCCAGGCAACCCCTTTCCTCCCCCTTGGTCTTTATTCACTGGGGCCACACCAGAGTGAAAAGAATCCCCAAGTTCTTGGCCTTCTCCTCACAAGCACGGTGGGTTGTCAGACTTCCCCTTTCTTTGAAGGAACAGAGCCACATTCTCAGCAGCAGCACTGATCGTCCTAGCACACTCTACTTCCCCCGACGGTCTCCGGATTGTACTCGTGGTAAGGGGGACTCAGGACAATCAGTGGTGGAGAGCTGTTAAAAATGCTATATCTTGCCAGGTGCAGTGGCCCACACCTGTGCTCCCAGTGACTCAGGAGCCTGAGGCAGGAGGGCCACAAGTTCAAGGCCAGCCTGAGCAACTATGTGAAATCCTAAGCAAAATAGGGAGACCCTGTCTCAAAATAAAAAAATATAAAAATGAAAGGACCAAGGGTGTAGCTCTGTGATAAAGCACCCTGTGTTCAATTCCCAGTACAAATAATAATAATAATAACAATTTTTTTAAATGCTATGTCCTAAACACCAATTGTACAAGAACTTCTGCTAGGATCACATTACAGTTTCATTATGTCTGGACTCAACATGGACCTGGTCCCTGAAATTGCCATGCTCTCTCTTCTAAGGGAAGTAGACCAGTCATTAGGATGCCCAAATCTAGGTGTAGCCACGGGAGCAGTGGAATGGAGAAGCTGATGCCCCATGCCCTGCTCAGCGCTCAGATGCAAAGCTCTACTTTCCCAGGAGCACCACAGGAAAGCCTCTGCCATGGGCAACATTATGCCATATTAGCTTTATTTATCTCTCCTTGTTGGTTTCCTTGGGGTGGGTGGTGAAGAGTACTGGGGACTGAACTCAGGGTCAACTAACTACTGAGCCACTTCAAACTCTCGTTTACAATTTTGTAAATATATTTTTTATATTTTATTTAGAGATAGGGTCTCACTAAATTGCTAAGGCTGGCCTTGAACTTTTGATCCTCCTGCCTCAATGAGCCTGTTTTTTTTTTTTTTTTTTTTTAAATCACCTGTTCATCTTGGAGTAATTTCAGATGTACTTACAGAAAAGCTGCAGAGGCAGTTCAAAGAGACCCTGTAAACTTTCCACCCAGTTCCGCCTAATGTTATGCCTTATGAAATCATGGTACATTTATTAAAACCAAGAAGCTAATATTGATACATCATTATTATTAAGTCCCAGACTTTAATTCTGAATATTTTAAAACCCCAGGATTCGTGATAGTTCATCCATAACTTCTTCAAGACACATCTCTAAAGTATAAGGTTACCTTTTCTGCTGCCCCAAATAAACTGTGGGTGATGCCTACTGGTACAGCTGAAAACGGCTGAGATATTCAGACAAAGATGAGCAAGAAAAGAGTTCTGGCTCATTTTGACATAGCCACAGACATGAATCACATACAGAAAAGGGATTTTTTCATTGTGCTAAGATAAAAACATGGATTTAGTGATTTTGAATCATTTTGAAGGATGTTCCAAACTACCAAAAAAATGAGTCAGTTTAGCAGAATACATACTTGCTGATCAAAACTCCAAAGACAGCCAGAGAATAACATGCTCACACACCACACACCTCACATTATTTAGAAAAGCATCTCATGAAGAAAATGAGGCACCGTGATTGCACTTACCACAGAACTGCAGGAAAAAGTAAGGGAACCGGAGAACCGAGAACCTGGCCCATGTTCACTAGCGATACAGAACCCCGGTCCATCTCGCTAGAGAACAAAGGCATCACTATGGGGACGCAACATTAACCTGTGGCCACACTCGCCTGCCTGCTGTCTGTTCTCCAACCACAGCCAGCAAGCCCCACTTGACCACAGCGGCTACACTGACGTCGCCCCTTCCCAATCAGAGGCTCCTTTCCACCACTCCTCCTCTGAGAGCAAAAGGAGCCCAGGAATTTTGTGGCTTACCTTCCAGTGGGCACCTGGACTTGACTCAACTTCAGCGCGGACAGGATCGCTTCTTATGTGGTGAACACTCGCCTCTATCCTGACTCATCAGTCTTTCCTGCGCCCCCAAAGTCTTACTCATCTGTGTCATACCAAAAGCACCTACCACCATGCAGCACACAGCTACTGAGCAGATGACTTTCAGATGGAGAAGGAGGTCACAGGGGGACATCACTTGCAGTGACTTGGATGCTTTTCACAAAACCATACAAATATAGAAATTCTGTTGCAGCCAGCCACTCATGTCACTCCACAAGTGTGGATGACCTCAGGACATAAGCCACGTGATCAGAACCCCAACCAACAGAGCAGCAGAAGGAAACCTCACCGCTGTCACAGGTGTGAGTCCAACACACAGGTGGGTAATCTGGCACTCGGAAGTTAAGACATTATAACAGAGCAAGCAGGCTGTAAGCTGGGGGAAGAGGTGACTTACCAGAGGTATAGGAAAATGTGTTGCATACTGCAGGTGGCGGAGGAGGTCATAATTAGATGGGAAAATCAACTCCCTCGGTTTTTCCCTCTTGGCCAACTTCTCTCCATTAAGTGACATTCTTCTGCCCAAGGAAGGGTTGGCGTTCTCACAGGACTCTCCAGGCATGGGAGAAAAAATCTAAGTCATGTAAAACAAATGTTGGAGATTATCAATGAAAGAGGGAAAAACCAACCCACAGAGCTACATTCCAGATCTCCACACACAAAAGAGGCTCCTGTAACAACACCCCTTCCTGCTTAACCACTGAGTAGAGAGCATGCAGAAATGTTGATTTCCACAAAATTCACATTCAGATCAGTAGGAATTTAGTAAAATCCTGTCCCACTTAGAAGTGAAAATGAAAACCATACAGAGGCTAAAAAGGGACCAATGTGACCACTTCCTGGAGGACCATAAAAGGAGAAGCTTTAGGGGTGTGTGTGTTCCCCTCAGGGCGACACTTGCTCCAGAAAGTGGGGACATCGCAGCAGCTAACTACTAAGACTAGCAAACAGCAGGCATCAGGGCCTCCCATGCACCCTAGACAATATGTCTTATAGAGTATCACACCAAGACTAGTGACTGTCACATCATCATTATCCTAAGACACAGAGAAGGATGAACCTACAGCTCCCGAGCACATAGCTGCTCAGACATGCACAGCAGAACAACAGGGACAGACACGATGAAACCACATGCATGCACTCCTGAGAGGTGACGACCTCAGGATGCACCAAGGAGTCACCCTTGGGTAGGAGGACAGCAAAATGGTGAACCGAGGGGAGACACTGCATGTGAAGTGTCCCTGGGGCCAGGGAGGAATGGGAAGAGCACACATCACAAGTGCACAAGTCACTCTGCGACACGGGCAAGAAACAAAAGGGTGGACACAAGCTGGCGAGAGGGGGTGGGCTGACTGTCGTGAGAAGCAAAGGCTGAACCTACTGGAAACTCCGAGCCAAAGTCGGCTTTAAAGTCACTCTTGTCTACTTCATCAAAAATGTGAGCGGTTCCTGGGTCAATGCCCATGTGCGCCATGATGCTCTGCTCCTGATGAGTGCCAGGGAGAGAGTACTGCTGTAAAGGCTGTGGTTCACAGAACACACTGAACAACAGCAAGCGCTGCGGCATCACCGCCCCCCCACCCCCCACGTTGTCTGCTCCCAGAAAACCTGAAGGAAGTTTTGAACATGCACAGCTTTGACGCCCATATCCCCTCCCCACCATGAGAAAGTTCTGTCATGGTATGTTGAGGGAAGGGCACACGGACTTCCTGATGGAAAACAAAGTGGCCGTGATTCCTCCCCTGGGTATCCCCAGTCAGAGGCCCAGCTTTCCTCAGCCAGAAAACCCAAGTTCATACCTATGACGTAATAACCCTGATACCCAAGGTCAGAAAAGGGAAAGTACAAGCTCAGAAAACATGCAAACAGGTCAAAGGACTTCAGTTTTTACCCTTATGCCTTCTTCTGGGTTCCAATTAAGATATAAAAGTATTTGTAATGAAACAAGAACTTTTAGAATTCTGTACCTTTAGGAAAACACCCTAAGAGTGTGAACTATAAACTCAAGCTTACAATTCTCACGCCAGGTTTTTAAAAGTACAAGTATAGGCACTATTTCAAACACACATAATGGTATATGACTAAACTCTTACAGAACCAACAGGAGACTTTATTTTAAGGAAGGGTTACTATTTCCCACTAATTCCAACTACCAGTTTCATATTTTTTATCTTGAAAATTTAAGTATATGGAGCAATATCCAAAATATCAGCACTTGGGCAGAAAATTATACAGTCATACAGCATAAAAGAACAATTTTACCATATTTTAAAAATTGAAAATAATTAATTGAAATGAAAATACGATGTGTTATGACTAACACAGAATCTCCCCTTATGCTTAAAAGGGTGACATAAGCAGTGAGTGGGGGAAAGAGGCTCCTTAGAATGGAAACTCAGCTGGGCCAAAACTCACTTGGGGATGCAACGCTAAAAGAAACCCAGACGCTGGGTCACCTAAAACTAGGAGCACATCTTTCCATCCCGTGAAAAATGTACGGCTGCCCAATCTGTTTATCAACAGCCTTCCAGTACATAAAGACCACTCTGGGAGTATAAACCAGAGTCCATATGCCCTTTCTGTCTGAGCAAAGAGAAGAGGCAGAGAAGCTTTGAGGAGAACACAGCCAAAAGCCATCACCCCACCATCACCAAGGTGACACCCTCTGATGGTGATTCCCGGCAGGGCTGAAGTCCGGCCCCTGCCCTGCCTCCAGCCCTACCTCCAGTTTCACCTCATGGTCCTTGGGATAGTGCTCGTCTACATTCTCCCCAGCGGGCGACCGAAGCCCAGTGGAGGCGGTGACGGACAGGTCCCCTCGAGATATGAGCGTGCACATGTAGGCATCATGGGAGAAGACGTCATGACGGATGAACTCACAGAAGAGCAGCACCAGGTTCACAAACTCCACCTTCTCGCACTCGCTGTTGGGGTCCGCTGTGGAAAAGCAGGCCCCGTTCCCAGGCTCAGCGGAGATGGCCAGGGGAAGGGCACCTCCCTGCCTCCCGTGCCCACCCTCCTTGTCACTGCAGGGTCTATGCAGCAATGGCATCCCCGCTGACGGGCAGGATGTGACTACTCGGCTCTGACTGGGAAGCAGTGCCAGTGTTCTGGGCACCCTTTAGATGCAACAGCAGAGGACCTTGCGGAATCCACCTCCAGGTAACAGAGGAAGGCCTAGCCAGCGCCCACCCAGCTCTTCTACTGAAAGAGGCCGTGGTTTCCTAATGTCCTGAGTGTGACTGGCATTTTGTGGGGCGTGTGTGCCCGTTTCCAAGAAACTTTATGATACACCACAATTAACATGGCATTTGGAAAGAAGCAGCAGCAGCAGACAAAGAATCAGAATTCACTGGAAAGAAAGGAACACAGAAAAAATGGAATAAAAAGGACACAAAGTTGGAGCCCTTACTCTTTTGTAAAATCTGCAACCAGTCTATTTAATTCACATTATGACTTTCAATGTTAAAACCACACTCTATGAAGCCAGGCAAGGTGGCACACACCTGTAATCCCAGCAGCTCAGGAGGCTGAGGCAGGAGGATCACAAGTTCAAAGCCAGCCTCAGGGGGCTGGGGATATAGCTCAGTTGGTAGAATGTTTGCCTAGCATGCACAAGTCCCTGGGTTCAATCCCCAGCACCACAAAAAGAAAAAATCAAAGCCAGCCTCAGCAACTTAGCAAGGCCCTAGGGAAGTTAGTAAGAACCTGTCTCAAAATTATAAATAAATAAATAAAAGAAATAAAAGAAACAAACAAGACTTGGGATGTGCTCGGTGGTTAAGTATCCCCAGGCTTCAATCCATAGCATTAAAAAAAAGAAAAAAAAAAGCCTGCACTCTATAAACCCATATAATAACCTGCACCTTTGGATAAGGTTAAAAAAATTTTAAAACTAAACATGCAAAGCTCAATCCCTGGTGCCAACAGGAAACAGATTTCTCCCAAGAGCTCTGGGCTGCACTCCTAGACCTAGATTCGAAGTGTTTCCTCTGGCCCCTACCACTCCAGAGACAGCAGCTTCTATGGGAAGGAGCCCAGCTAGCTCTCCAGGGGCAGAAAAAGCCACCCGGAACCAGCAGGGCACAGACCAGGGAGCCGGCTGGGGAGGGAGGAGCACCAGGGCCAAGGGCCCTCCCTGCTAACCTCCTGCCTGATGTGCCTCCCCCACTGGGTCCCCTGGGTCCTTCCCCTTCTCTGCTTCCTTTTCTGCTTGCTGTCTTCCAGCCACCCACTGGGCTCCAGGCTGGCTTCCCTACAGCCCAGAAAATCACTGTATAACTGAAAGGGAGCCGCTGGTCCCCAAGAACCTCAGCACAAGCCTCACACAACCCAAACAAGGCAGTCTTGCTGCTTTCCTTTCACTCCTCCGACTTCTCCCTTCCCTGACCCTTCTTTCCCGTCCACGGCTTTCCATGTTTTGCCATTTTCCTGTTGTTCCATCTCTATCTGCTGTAAGATCCTATCTGCTATGTTCTGCCTTATAAAAATCTCCAGATACATTGCGCCTACGTGGTAACACTAAACCTGAAAAGCACTGCCTACCAAAGTGTCCTGGGGGGAGTGGGAGGAAATGCCACAAACCCTCAATTCCTCACCAACAATAAAAGTAAAAGACAAAGCCAGGCAGATGGCACACACCTGCAGCCCCAGTGACTGGGTGACTAGGTAGAATTGGAGGTTGTACACTAGCCACAGCAACTTAGTGAGAACCTGTCTCAAATATAAAAATTTTTCAACGTGGGCGAGGATGTAGCTCAGTGGGCAAGCACCTGTGGACTCGATCCCCAGCACCAGAGAGAGAGAGAGAGAGAGAGAGAGAGAAAGAGAAATAGCCTGAGACTGAAAATCCAAGAAACGGTGGTATCATGAATGTAGCCAACCATCTTTATAAATTTTTCCTTGTATCAAGGCTCTAGTTAAAGTATGGTTAATTTTCTTCACTTTTGAAGAGCAAGAGTTGGAATGTTGGAAAATTTAAGAAAACAGGTTAAAAAAATAAAAATTTCTGATTAAGATACACAGGTAAACGTCATAGCTCCTGTTTCTGAAAGATATAGAAAGGAGAAACAGTACACTGAATTTAAGGAAGTGAGGTGACTTAATTTTTAAGTTATTAAAATCTAAAAATTTAAAGTATTTGATGCTTGACTGATTTTAAAATTGGCTAAAAGTTTCCACTAAATAAATGATACTAAATTCTGTTTAGTAACACATTCATGATATTCAGTTCCAAGAACTTTTGATAAGATAGGAATAAGAAGTGGGGAGGGTCGAACCTTACTGAGAAGCAAAGGCCTTTTTTACTTACACAATGAGGGGGCCTGTGTATCCAAAAACCTTAGCAGAACATTCTGGAAAACAGGCAAACTAGAGCCAGCAAGGGAAGCAGAAGAAATGGACTCCTTCTCATCTAGGACTTCTGATTCGCCACATCTCTACAGGTGAAAAATAAACAAGCACAGGAGTTACACAGGGCAAGTGCAGTCACAGCAGATCATGACTCTGTTCTGTAACCAACATTTGAGCTTTAAAACACGTACAGTTAACTGAGATTTCTGCACTTACCTGAATATCATCCATCATAAGTAAATATGATTTCTAAAAGCTGGGGAGAATTACCTAGAACAAGTCAACTGGTCTCACAGAACACCATGCCTGGGTCTGCAAGTCTGCACAGCACTGCAGGAGCACCCACAGAGTGCCCAGCTCGGTATGGCAGGCCGTGCCCTAGCCATAAGCAGAATGGCTGACCATATTCTGAGCTGGTCGTTAAATAACTCAGTTTGAGCGGACTCTGAAGTTCCTGCCATATGTTACTGGGTCTGGTTCCTTTGCATCTGTGTTCCCACCTTGAGGGTTTACTGCGCTTGGAGGCATCAGACGAGAAAGCAAACACTGCTCCTAAAAGATTCTTCTGCTTGTTCATCACATTTCTCCACTAAGATGGCCTAGGACCTCTGGGAACTTCCCAGCTTCACGCTGACACTTCAAGAAGGTGTCTAGCTTTCACATTCTTGTTTTTTTTTTTTTTTTAAGTTGTCAATGAACCTTTATTTTATTTATTTATTTATGATGCTGAGACTTGAACCCACACACATGCTAGGCAAGTGCTCTACCACTGAGCCATAACCCCAGCCCTTAGCTTTCACAATCTTAATGAATTTAAAAGGTGATCAAAAAAAAAAATTTAGAAGAAATCAAAATCTCATTTTCTATTCTTTTGATATCCCTGATTCTTCCCATTTCATCATTCATTAATATTAACACAATTAAATATTAATTAGATTATCATTTCCCCAGTCTATCCTTTTTGCAAAAGTCACGTTGTAAAGATCATAATGATCATGAGAAATGGATTATTCCTAAACACTGCTGGGAAGAACACTTTTAGATGTAGATACACTTAGGTCTGTTAAAAGTGCCAAGTAGTCTGCTTGTGAATCTCTTCAAAGTGATGTGTCTCCGTGAGCATGTGCATTACAGAACACTAGGAGGAGAAAGACCGTGTCAAAAGAAAGCCATCGAAAAGGAGCCATGAAGTATTTGGGAAACTTGGCTTTGCTTCCTGATGTTGACTCATGCAGTTCAACATGTAGAGAAAAGGCAACTACAGGTTCTTCTGGGCCGGCCCGTGGGGAACGGGGTCTGCTGGCCTCGCATGACCCCACTGAGCCCCACCTCCAGCAATGAGATCAGCTCTCGATGAATGAATGGCTTTCTCAGGGGAAGGAGAGATGCTCTTCTTCCCATTTCACGTGTTAGTGCTAGTGAACTGAAAGGGTGGGGAGAATGAAGCTAGAGCCATGACATGTATCTAGATATTGCGGGGGGGGCAGGGCCAGGGCATGAGAGGCATCTGGATATGGGGCTCATGCCCCTGGCTGCTGTGGAGGGCAGCAGAGAACAAGAGAGGAAGCAGGGGTGAGGCAAGAGGGGCCAGCAAGCCATCCAGGTGAGGGACGCTGGTCCTCTCCAGATCACACACACGCTCCCTGTGGCACCGGCTCAGGTGCACATATAGGAAAGATGAGTCACAAGAAAGCTTTCCTTCAACAGAGGCTGTCGCGTGCTGGTGGAGTTGGCTTTGATTGTCCTTTGTCATCTATAACACAGCTTTAATGGCAGAACATGTGTTAAATAGCAGCTCTGGAGGCTGAGTCAGGAGGATTCCGAGTTCAAAACCAGCCTCAGTAATGGCGAGGTGCTTAGCAGTGAGACCCTGCCTCTAAGTAAAATACAAAATAGGGCTGGGGATGTGGCTCAGTGAGTTCAATCCCTGATACAAAAAAAAAAAAAGAAACAATGTAAATTGATCTCTCTGACCTCATAATCATAACTGCTTCAAGAAAGGATTTCCAAATCCACTAAAATATAATGTAGGTTTAAATGTCCTAGAAGTCGGTGTGCCTCAAGCACACTTGTGTGTGTGTGCGTGCGTGCACGCTGCAAATATCTCAGCCTTAGAGGGAGAGACTCCAATCTTCTAAACCTGTGGTGAAGTTTTTGAATTAGTCCCAAATACCCATCCCTGGCCGCACCAACCTACAGAGCGCCTGCTACGGACTCCTCCTTAGGCACATCTAAACATCCTCCCTTTTTTCCTCAGAAGAAAAGAAAATGAGAGAACATGAAAGAGAAAAAGCATCCCCCCTCCACGTGATATGCAGGCCACAGCATCAACAGGTAGGAAGGAGAAGGACCTACCTCGGCCTCGATCTCCGCTTGCCTCTTCTCCAGGAGTTTGGCTACAGCCATGGCCCTGTGCTTGCCTGACCGTTTGCAGCTCACGGCCCATTCACACAGCAGCGTCACCACGGCTTCATCATTGGGGGCGACCTAAGGACAGAGAGACACAGGCACCGCCACATCAAATGAAAGGTTTGCCCCACTGACCATCAGGAGGCAGGCAACGGAGGCCAACAAGCTCGAGGCCTTCTTCCCATAATTTACTGCAGGAGTTTCAGAAAATGCCTCCAAATCATTTTTAATCAAAGCATAAAAACTTAGGTAACAGGAAGAAGATCACTTACTAAGAAACTGCCTACACTGGATGGGTGACAATTCCAGAACAGGCAACCTCGCAGCTGCCTTGGCATGCACGGGGTCACATGCTAGAACTCAATCTCACATCCAAACAGAAAGAGAAATGACTGCTGGCCCCATGAGCAGCTGCTACCAAGTCAGGCCGCCCATGTTGCAGTCAACACCTAGGACCTCTGTCGCCGGCTCATGGCCTTCAAAACTCTACCAGGCTGGGTGACTGAACAGCCGGCACAATGAGGAATCAGAAGGACAAACCAGAGGAGGACTGGAAGGCTGACAAAGACCCACTGCACCAGAAACAGCCATCTGGACAGTGGCACACCAAGAGAACCGGCAGCTAAAGCAGACCTGGTCCACACCGCAGCCTGGGTCCACCCGGGGCTCAGCACGGCGCCCAGAACCACTGCCAGCCTAGGAATGGACCACAGGGATAGAGGACAAGGGGACTTAAGGCCCAAGTGACATGAATTCTCACTGGGGTGGAGGTGAGGGTGGTGACAGCAGAGAGACAGTGCTTCCATGCAACCAGTCCTCTCCTTTCCATGTCCCCACACCAAGCAATGGGACACTGGCTACAAGGTGTCAGCATCCCCAGGTGTGACCGTCATACTGGACAGACAATCACAATGTCAACAACCCCCACCACACGAGAGGGTGGCAACATTATAGAATCCACAACTCAAGTAAGATGGCGACATAGTTATGAGCACACTCTCTACAAGAGTGTGTACACACACACACACACACACTCCTCAGCCCAACCCTGCCTCTGTAGGCGTGTGGATTCTGAGAGGTCATCTGAGAATCCCCGACCAGCTTTCAACACTATCGAACAATTCAGAACAAAAATAAGTTCATCCCAAGACTCTTTTTCATCCTATCCTAAATTTGATCATTTTAACATGTGGACTCAGAACAAAGAAATAAGTTACCAGGGGCTGACACCTCCAAGGGAGCTCTGGGCCTCTTAATTTAACACAAGGGAAATAATTCAATTAAATACAAAGCTTTTCGGGACAACATTTAAAAAAAAAAAAAAAGTAAACTGTAAAGGTCTTCTGCCATAGAAATATAAAAGTCAAGAGTTATCCTAAATCCTGCTATTTGTTTTTATTAAGCAGCAATTGCATCATGCTCACATTTTTTAACTACCCCCATCTTCAAAATCAGATAAAAACTGTTACAACATAACACAGGACTGTACTTGCTGCAGAGCCCAGCACCTCCTCCGGCCAGCCCGGAGGGCCTGCAGACTTTATTTTGTTAACCGTTTTCCCACTGAGGGCCCCACGTGAGATTGAACACTCATTACCAGGGGGAGAGAGCAGCATGGGGCTCTGCACATGATCGGTGGCATCGCTGGGGCTGGGAGGAGGACCAACGGCTTCACACTGTTGAATGAACTGCACGAGTTACGAGAACACCCCATGACCACAAGCCTGGGGGAGCCAAGCAGCAGCCATGTGGCCCCGCTATCTTTTCAGGAAATGCAAATACACATTCACTCATCACGTGCACCACTGTGAAGATCAGCAAGCTAAGCACTCTGTGCCCATGGCATGGAAATGATGCCTGGCAGCCAGAGGAAGACCCGTCGACCTGGGCACCCAGATGCTAAGGAGATCCTCAGGTACCGCAGGGGACAGGAAGGCTCAGTTCTTCACCCTGAAAGTCACACTCCTCGGACATCGGAACCAAGAGCCCACACAGAGCTGAGCTGGGCGATCAGTGGGAGATTCAGCCAGGGGAAAATTTTGCACAGGGTGTGCTGTGAAGTGCACCTGTGGACAGTCATACTGAGGACACAGGTTAATCCACATGCAGAGACTGTGGATTTTCATTTTATGCTTCCATGACGTAGAAGAAAAGATACTATTGTATGTCAAAGAAAGAAAAATGTAAAGGGGCCTTGGAGGAAAAAATCTAAGATAAACAGAAATAAATGTAAAGAAAAGCAAAGCAAACCTACCTAAACCCAGTGAGATCTAACACTCCCTGGGGCCTCGAGGGACGAGCAAAGTTCCACTGTAGAGGGGAAGCTACCTTCTGTCCATTTACACAGGTGACCTCTGCTCATTCTCACAGCCACAGAAACTGGGGAAGAGAAGCCCAGGCTGAATCCACGCCTGTGGCCCAGGACTCACCTCTGGGCTACTGCAACACCCCTTGCTGAGGAAGGTCCCAGCACAGCTCCACCTGCTGTCCCACAAACTCTGACACCTATGGACCCCACACTCAGCTCGTCCTCCCTCTAGAGTCCCTCTCCCCCATGTGCCTTCTCTTAGACAAATGGCACCATCTTCAGGCCAGGAAGCTGGTGTCCTCTCCCTTAAAAGCTGCACCCCAGTTTCACTGAGGTCCCCATGCCATGCCAGGCCTCCTCTGGGCCACGTCGGCTGCTCTTCCCCCAGAGTGTAACAGCGCTGTCCTCCTCACTGCTCTCAGCTCTGGGGTTCCTGCTGACCAAGTGCACAGAATGCCACCCCATGTCACATGCTTTGTGGCATATGTGACTGCCTAAAGTTTCTCTTCACCTGAGTCTAATTTTCCAGTGCATTCCCTCAAGGATAGCAAGTGGCAAGAAGGCAGGACTGGCTCCTCACTGCCCTCCTTCACACCTGCACACCCGACCTCGCACGGGCCACCAGTGAACGAGGCTTCCAGGCCTCTGGTGGAAATGCCAGGAGTGAGTCCCCCTCCCCCACCCCCCGGCTGCATCAGGAACGCCCAGTGAGAGCTATGGTGCTGTGATGAACAAGCGCATTCTAACTGGGGCAAATTCTGGGTTACTCTAGGGCATAATCCCACAGCAGCTCCTGGTGCGTAACAAGGTACCACAGAGCATGGCAACTTCTGCAGCAGTCACGCATGTCCAGTCAGCTCGCTCGGATCTATGGATGGTGTTTCTGGACATGCAAGAAAAACCTAGAGACATTTTTTTTTCTCTCCTAAATCAGAAAATGTCACCCTTTAGGTGTTCTGTCGTTCAAAGAAACTTCAACCCATCTCATTAAAAAAAAAAAAACCAAACCTATCTACCTGAATTACAATAACTGCAGTGCCCTTTCACCTTTTCAGGCCCCTATTCCATTGAATCTGCAAGGCCACGAAGCTACATTAAATTAGCAAAATTATTTTTGAGAATTGCTACAAGTGATTACAACAGTGATTTATACAAAGTGCTAAATATGAGCTGAAATTACACAATCTTCCAATTTTTAAAAAAAAAAATTTTAGTTGTAATTTGACACAATATCTTTATTTTATTTATTTATTTTTAATGTGGTGCTGAGCATTGAACCCAGGGCCTCACCCATGCTAGGCAAGTGCTCTACCACTAAGCCACAGCCCCAGCCCCTAATCTTGCAATTTTTAAAGACTGGATTTCACCTCCTCATTCTTAAAAATGCTTGAGAAAAATATCTACAATGTGTGGATGTGTGGCTTTGTTTTTTTATACTCTTGTATATTCCCCACGTTTTGAATGAGAAAATATTGCTTCTATACCAAAGAAATCAAACATATATGTGTGCATGTAAATATATACAATATGTATTATATATATTTTCAACATCTGTGGTTCAATATCCTTGTATGCTAATTCAAAATACAAAATATGTCTACATTTTTTTTTAACAAAACTCCAGATGGCTTTTAAAACAGATGGACTAGAATTTAAAAGACTCTGAGAAAACAGTTGTTGTCATTGTTGTTTCTTAAGGAACTTTTAAAAGTAAAATTGCACAAAAATTTCAGACATTTTTTTTCTAACGAATAAAAAAATAAACGGGTGCAAATTAAAAAACTAATGGAGAAACAGGTGGAAAGTTGGAATAGAAAGACAGGTAGTTAGTTGTTGACTATTGTAACAATCCAGTGATTTAAATCAACTCGATCTTGCCTGCCTCTGGGTCTCCACCACCCTCTGCACACTGAAGGGAATTAGTTCACAAAATGTGCACAAGAATTCTGCTGATGGGCTTCTGTCCTAGACAACAGCTGGAATAATCCTAAAAACCCGGTGGATGTGAAAAGGCCAGTGATCTCAGGCACTCAGCACAGGAACAGGCCCTGCCTGCCCCCTGAACACGCCAGACGTGGCCAGGGGCAGAGGGTGGTGTGCTGGAAAACAAGCCCAGTGAGGTGAGCACCAGGATCCCAAGCCCTGAGAAAATACTCTAAACCTGGCCCTTATATCCCTGAAGTTCACATTCTAGAGGGAAAAGCCTAAAAGATGACTACCTACAAAGCAACAAGAAAACGAACTGTGCGAGAAGGAAGGAATTGAGTCCCCATGCCTGCTGTGTCTTAGAGGGTACCAGCATCCCCCTGTCCCAGCACACTGACGTCTGAGAACTGGACGGGCAGATGGGCCTGCAGACGACCGGCCACGGCAGCCATCACAATCACTGAATACCAAGAATTAGGTGAATTAAGAAAATCAGTGACGGAACCACTGAGAAACACTGTCGAAAAAACTCAGCTTTGTAAAATAGAAAATTCTAGCACAGAAATTTTGTCTTCACAGCAACTGTGCCTATAAAAATCTAAACATTTCAAAATTCATTTTGAACCCATAAGTATTTTCCAGTATTGGCCAGATCCCAAGACTGCGCAGTCCTCTCCTCTCTGAATATCAAGAGGCCTGCCTGCAATACCGACCTGTCCTCAGGACCCTGGAAGGGACAGAGAAGCCAGAACAGAGGAACGTACGTACACTAGCTTCTCAGAAGATCACACTGGAAACACGGGTGGCATTACACTTATCTGAAGGCACAAGATATGGGTAGATT